CATAAATAAAAACAAATTTATAAATAAAATCTATTAAAAAAGTAGTTGTAGTGAAAAAGAAATTTAGAATTATGTTTAAGATTGGTATAATACTTTTAGTTGGATTATTTAGCGATGAAATATTTATCTAAAATAAAAATTACAGATATTTGGCAATTTTTAAAAGTTTCAGTAATATAATTAAATAAATAAAAAACAGATTGTTAATAAAAATAAAAAAGATAAAAGTAAAAATGATGACTTGTTTAGGTTAGTATTCGATTAGGTTGAATTGGAATTGATTGGAATGAATTTAATTGGGATGGATTGTATTTCATTAGATTATGTTAGATTTGGCGAATCGGATTTTTTTATCAGTAAAAGTAAAAAGGTTATTTATTTATACATAATAGTAATAGAAATAATGGTAATAATGGAAGAATAGCAACAAATAATGTTATAATAAAAGTAATAGGAATAATAACTACATTACACTTAGGTTTTAGGGTATAAAATAGATAATCAAAATTAATTAAATAAATCAAAAATTATAAAATTATATAAAAAAAAAAAAATTTTAAATAAAAAATAGTTTATTATCCATATAAATTTATTAAATAAACATTTAAGAATATAAAAAATGTAATTTTTTCTTTTTTACTTTTTTTTAGTTTTTTAGTTTATTTTTTTTATTTTTAAATATTAAATTATAAATTATAAATTATAAATAATAATAATAATAATAATAATAAAATATTTAAAAAAACAAATTAAATCTAAACATTGTTTATCTCAATGACGATATACATAAAAAAGGTCAAGCTAATGCTTAGCAATTTTAAACATTTTTATTTTGTATTAAATATTTAGATCAGATGTGGCAACAAATAGCGCTTTTTCAAGTTAGCTTTAGCTCTAAATTATAATTATAAATATATTCCACCACCACCACCACAACAACAATAAAGATATAATAAAAAATTTAGTAAATAGAAATAGGAAAAGTATAATCATTAATTATTCTTTTGGATTTTAGGATAGTTAATAAAATAAAAATAGACTAAAGGAAATAAGCTAGCCATATTAAAAGATTAATAATAGTACAAATTAAATAGTTCATAATGGGATTTCAAATTTAATAATATTAAATTAAGAAATAAGAAACTGCAACTAAAAAACGAAAATTTAACTTTAAAAAACAAAATCATAGAAATAGAAGGTAAAATATCCTCCCTTAGAAATATAAATAATAATATCGGGTATCGTATTGATAAAAAAAATAAAAAGATCAAAGAACAGAAAGAAAAGATTGAATCTCAAAATGAAAAAATTAATATACTTCAAAATAGTATTGGAGATGTACTCAAAAAACTAACAACACTTGAAAAAGACAAACCATGATGAATTAAAAGCAATTAGCACTGCAACAGAGTTGGGTTGTGATATTCAATTGGTAACCGTAATGACATTATTTAATCCCAGAAAGAAATGAAAGTCAAGGAAAAAAATACTATGCAAACATTCAAAATCAGTGATATAAAAGTCAGTTATGATACCAAAAAAAAAATTGATGATACAATAAATTATGTAGAGATAGGAATAATAGTGTTCATTTTCATGATATAGAAATAATTATTAAATATATTAATGATGTAAAAAATATATAATCTTTATTCTGAATCTAAGAAATATATCGATCAATTCAAAGGTAATGTTCTCAATGTCTTCCGTGAAATCAAACCAGATCCAGAATTCAGCCTAACAAAAAATAATTTAATGCATATTTAAACAAATCATTAATTTTTTAATTTTTTTTTTTAATTTTTTCATATATAAAATGGGAAATATAATTATTACACGATTTTGAAACGAAAACAATACAAACTACTTTAACTACATCACAGATAGAGGCTGGTGGTATTAATGATGAGAAACAAATATTAATTGACAATTACAACAAGAAATAAGAAATACAGGGCCAGATACACCAAATACTCAACGACAATATGACACCAATAATAATGATTGAATGATACAACAAGTTAACCACTCCCCCCAACCAATATAGTCGCATAAAAAATATTTAAAAAAAAATACAATATAAATACAAATAAATAAACATTAATACCTCTTATATAAGAGCTTTTAAATAAATCCATTTGTTTTTTTTAAAAATTTATTTAAATTTTTATTTATTCATTGACCAAATATTTTATTTTATGGAAATTAAGCTTAGAATTTAAACAAATAAATTAACCTTTGTGTTTGTTCATCGTTCTATTATATCCTGGTAAATTTTATAAAATCATGATTATATATTAATTCGATTTTAAATTAATAATGCCAAATAAAAAATTTAATTATTTCTTTTTTTTTTTTTTAGTTATGCATTATAATAAATTTGTTTTATTGTTTTAAAAGTTTTTTTTGTCTCACTTCTTCCAATAATAAAAAAAATAAAATGAAATTAGAGATATTGATTATTAAAATTATTAAAATATTTCAACTGTTTTAAAAATAAAAATAAAATTTTTTTTTATTTAAAAGATTTATTTAATTTATTGATTTATTCAATTAAAACTTTGATTGAGTTTGTTTTGCCAAATACTTCAGAGTCATACATTTCTTCAATTGAGGCAGAGGGGATTAAATACTCACCTCTGGTAGTGGCACGTAAAGTATATTTGAAAGTATATTTACCTCTTTCTAATGAATTTGAAAATACTTCACATCTTTCGTCACGATAATTAGCAAAAGCCCATACAGTACCTTCGAGTTTGAAATCAGTTTTATCTACAATATCAAAGCCACCAGCTAATTTGTCAATTAAAACTACATTGTTTCTATCAAAATCGGTAGAGATATTTAATGTAACGAAAATCTTTGAACCAAGAGAAACCTTTAAGTTGCCAGTTTCTTCGTCAACTTGTAACTTGTCATGTTTAGATTTTGGAGTAAACATTCTCTGAATTGAGAAACCATTGTTTAATTCTGGAGTGAAAAGATCAAAAGTGGCATATTTAATATTGATACGATAATAAAGTTTTCCTTTACCTTCTTTTTGAAGCCAAAGTTCTGATTTTTGTGATTTGACTAATTCTAAACTATTAATTGATTGTTTTTCTTTATCATTTTCGTCAACATTGTTATTTTGATTTATTAAATTTAATAAATTTAATTTATCTAAATTTTTATATAATGACGATAATGGCACTTCAATTGAATAAGAGATTGTTGATTTACCATCATAGTATGGTGTTTGACCACAAAAAGTAGATAAAATATTTGATTCATCTGTTGTATTTACTAACCAACCTCTAGCTAAACATTTTGGTGACTGACGATCGGTACTACTAAACTCTGATATTGCTGTAATAACCCAACAGTTAGTTTGAATATTCTTCCATTGACCATGTTCTTTCTTATCCAATAGACCAAGTACAACCTTTGGAATATTTTCGTGATTACATTTACATTGGACCAATGATCTTAAAATGATTGCAGTTGTTCTTTCAATGTTATGGAATAGTTGAGATCTAATTAGTTTGTCATAATAGGAATTGAAATAAATATAACCATTTTCTTCAAATGAATTTCTCATTAAATAGGATACGATTTCATCACGTTTCTTATTGAATTGGGAATCTTGGAATGTTCCTAATATCCATGCTAAAGATTCAAGTGAGAAAATTGTTGCACCATGAGTTGAATAGAATTTTAATGCTAATTGTGCAACTGTATTTTTACTCTTTTTACTTTGAATACTATAAAGAGTGTTAAGGGCATAGGCAGTTGAAGCTAATTCAAATTGATCCTTGCTTTGAAGATTTTTATTGATGTATCTATCTAACCAATTAATTGATTTTGAAACTAATGATTTCATATTATCAATTTCATAACCATATTCTATTAAAATTGAAATTGCATGGATGGCATGAATTGATTCAAAGTCATTCTTTTGGAATGATTGATTTGCAAATGCAGAACTTGGCCATGTATTGAAATCACCATTTTCGGTTTGACGATTCTTTAGTTCAATAAAGAGTTTTGTAAGTTTTGATTTAACCATTTTACTTGATGGAATATTACGTGATTTTTGTTCGCCTAAAATATGATAAAGTGAAGCAATACCGATGGCAGTGGAAGCAATGTTTTCGGTTCTTTCAAAAGGATAGTTGTAAACAGATAAAAATGCATCGTGGACATTTTGTAGAATTGTTGATGAAATATCTAAATCTATAGAACCAAATATTGGGAGAGCATCTTGTGGAATTTCTATTGGCTGGATAATACCAGCTCCTTCACCAATTTGACCATAAATTGAAGTGGTTTTAGTAGTTGGAGGATTAAATACTGGGATTGATATTTGTAAAGCATCACCATATTTACCAGATACACAACTAATTTGTATTGATGAATTACCAACATTAACAGATTTAACTTTAACATAAATGATTTTTCTTTTTTTCTTTTCAACAAAAGTGAAATAACCAAAAGTGGATGATGTTTGTTGATTAGTGATTTGTAAATGTTCTGAAACCTTGACACCAACTTTGCAAATTCTATCGTTATTACTATTATTACTAATAACAACTCCAATATAACATTCATCGTTCAAGTTTAAGAATCTTGGTGGTACACAACGAGTTGAGACCAAAATTTTTGAAGTAATAAGGCTTTCACCTTTTCCAAATTGTTGTTCGTCTTTAGAACAAACAACACCCCAAATACGATAACGAGTAAGATTATCTGGTAAATGAATTGGAATAACAACTTCACCGGATTCATTAGTTGTAGCTGATGGAGTAAAGTTGGCTAAAGCATTAAAATCTTTTCTTAATAATGAAATCTTTTCAATTTCTTCTTCTGAGCTATAGGAATAATCTTCTTCATCATCGTTATTACAAAGACCTACTGATGTTAGAGTTTCATGTTGAATATCTGGTGAATACATATCCAATTGTTTTAATTTTGATTTTTCTTTTTTATCAAGACTAGCTGATCCAAGGCTGAATGTAGGTGCTATACCAACAGGTTTAACACGGCTGCTACTAAAGGTTTTGCTTCTATTTCTACTACCACCAAAACCAAAGGATGCACTTTTTTTTGATGATTTAGCAAAGCTCAAAGAAGCTTCGGCCAACTCCTCTATGCCCATTGGAATTAAATCGTCATAAGCTTCATCTACCGAAACTTGTTTACGATATGAGTCTTCAATAGTTGGATCATATTCATCAATGAAATGTTGGTTAATATAACGAATAGTAAGAGTTGATTTACCAACACCACCACCACCTAAAATAATTATTTTATTTTCTTGGTCACCAGTAAAAATTCTACACAATTTACCCATAGCCCCAAATGCAGCATCAACATTTAAACCAGTTTTTGATGAAGTTTCAATATAGGTTGCACCGATACTAGAAGCATAAAGCTTACCTTCATTTGAACTAACTTCTCTTTGTTCTTCTAAATCACATTTTGTGGCGACGACCATAATGCATGCATAAGATGAACAATCCTTTGTATAGAGAATTTGATTATAAAAAGAATTAAGTTCATCAAATGAATTACGGCTATTGATTGAAAATGTTAAAAAGAAACCATCACCAGAACGAACATAAGCATTTCTCATAAAAGTGTATTCCTCGCTACCAGCAGTATCTAAAATATCCATAAGCATTGGTCCACTAAAATTGTTACCTCTTCTTACTGGTTTACCAACATCATTTGAAATACTTGATCTTGGAAGTGGTGGGGCAGGATGTGAATGTACTTTAAATGGGTCGCTAATGGTAACATCATGGTCATATTCATCTGGTTTGATAATGGGTTTTTGTGTACCTGACATAATTGCACTGCCATCTTTTAATCTTGGCTGAAGTAAAACACTTGAGTATGATAAGCAACTGAAATATTTACCAACTATAGATAAACCATTTTTAGATGATGATCTTGGATAGAAAATATCTAATGGATTTTCAATATTGTGGTTTGAAAGTGAAATAATAGATTCATCCAATACTAATAAACAAACTTCGGCATTTGGAACATTGGAACCCTTTGAATCTTTAACTTTAACTCTAATATTTGTATCTGAACCCGGTTCAACAACTTCTTCTTCTGGTTTTACTTCAATTTGTAATTTTTTACTAATTGGTGAGACTGATAATTCGGTGGTACCTGCTAATTGTTCTTGAGTTTGAATATTAATAATATCACAACAAATTATGGAAAGTGGTGACCAATCTTCAATAATATCTAATTCAACCTTGTCTTTTGCTGATTCAATTTGATATGATTTTGTAAATATAACACCATTTTTAATAATTGATAATACACATTTAAATGGGAATTGATAATAATCAATTAAAATAATTGATTTTTCACCTGGTAAATAATTTTTTTTATCCAAATTAATAGAAACTTGATTAACTTGATTAAATTTAATTTCATCTAATTTAATTGAATTTGAATTTTTTATATTATTATTATTATTATTATTATTATTATTATTATTATTATTATTATTATTATTAATTATATTTTTATTATTAATATTATTATTATTATTATTATTATTATTATTATTATAATTTGATAATGACCAATTAATTAATAATGGTAACAAAGTTACAAATTTAGAATTATTTTGTTCAAATAATGTAACTGAAATTTCATATAATGATACAGAACTTGGTTCATATTTTGGTTCATAAAGTTGAATAGAATGAGTAAATTCTGTATCGGTACTTTGAATTGTTGAAGTAATTGTTTTACAACTTTCATAATCATATGGTTGTAAACCTTTTTTGTGAGTAATTGAGATTGAAACACCAACTTCAGGTTGTGGGATACCATTTTGATCACATACAATCATTTGTAATTGAATTGGTAAATGTTTGTTACTATCATTGATTGTAATAGATTTATCTGAATTTGATTGGTTGGCAATTTTAACTCCGACAAAATTTTTGGTTGGATGTAAAATATATCTAATAGTTGAATTGATCATTTGATTGTTAATGTCGGTAATTTCAACATTGGTATCAATATTTATTGAAGTTGGTGGATTTGGAGCATTACCATTAAAGGTTGTTTTAATAGTATGAAGACCATCATCATCGGTTTTGCCTTTAATAGTTTTTTCTCTATTTAATGAAAAGTCTTTAATATTGAGATGAACTTCATCTTCTTGATAACCAAATCTATATTTGGACATACCTGGTGGGACATAGTTTGATTTTGTAGAAGAGACTCTCCAGTTGGTTTCACAATCTGGTAATGAAGCACCTTCATAGTAATTTGATTTTGCTTGAATATAACTTGAACCACTAAATGAACCAGTTCCATCATAAACAATTGATGCACTTGCTACAAATTCTGGTCTCTTAAATTCCTCAATATCAAATTGATGAATAAATGAGGTTGTTAGAGTTCTTTCACCTTTTATCTTTTGTTTTTCATTTCTTCCATTAATAATAATAAATTCGTTTTCATCAGCCAATGAAAGTTTTAATTTGCTTTTGCCTAAATTAATTTTATCTGGTAATTCTAAATCAAAATTAAATGTTGAGAAAGAATTTAATTTGCATTCACCCTTTAATATAGTTGTGTAACTACTATCTTCCAAGATGTATTTAATAACTTGGCCGTTTTGGAAATTGTGAACACCCAATTTATGTTCTAATGGGTCACGGGTAAGATAACGCAAATAACCTTTAATGTGAACAGTTGTTTTTGGACGATACAATGATTGATCATCAAATACATACCAACTGATTGCTTTATATGCAGTATTTGGTTGGATGAAAACTTTTGGAAGAATGCAAGTATCTTTGGTTTGTGTATTTTCTGCAATAATATGAATTTCAGAGAAATTTTGTTGAAGTGGTAAATGTAAAAGACCTTGTTCATTTGAAACACCATCTGCTAAATTTCCTACATGTTTTTGAAGTGCTAAAAGATTATTTGATTTCTTTTGTTCTTTCATACGGAATTGATGATAATTTACAGTGGAAAGAGATGAAATTTTAACATTTGATACGAATGAACCATCAGTTTTATTTGTAACCCAGCAAGATAAAAGTTTTTGATCAGCAACAGCACCAATGTTCATTTGAGTACATTGAACCCAACAACGAAGTGATGGAATAATAGTGGTTTTTGATAAATTTGGATAGAGTGCATTTTGAGTTGGATAAAGGAAAACACCAATATGACCAATCATTAATTCTTTGTTTGCTAAACCTTCAAAAAGTTCAATATATTGATCACTTTCAATATCGGTCTCTACAGTTGGAATATCAATATCGATCATACGACAGTGTACTAATTCTCCACATTTTAAGATTGGTTGGCTAACTGATGGTACTTGTTTAAGTGATGAGAATTTTAATAGAGTTTTTTGTTCAACTACTTCATCAAAGAATTGTGGATAATCTGTGTATGGATTTAATTTATATAACTGAATTACAAATTGATTAATATTTTTACTTCTTAAACAAATTGATGGTTTAACTAATGAATTATTTGATATTAATGATGATGATGCTGATGATTCTGGTGATTCTGGTGATAATATTAAATTTTCTCCTTTTTTTTCATTTGATACACTATCAAAAGTTACAATTTGATTAGGGCATATAAATGGAAATTTGAATGTATAATTAAATTTCTGTGGTACAGCTTTAAAGTTTAGGATGACATCTTTTGAAAGTTTTTGAGCGTTGGAGTCCATTAATTCTTTTGAAATTGTTAATTTAAATTCAATATCTGTATTTTGGAATTGATCATATTTTATACCTTCTAAGACGATATTTGTATCAGATAAAATTATTTTATATGGAATATCTGGTTCGATTCTAATCATTGAATTTTCAAATGTTGATTTTGAAATGGTATTATTAAAAAACAATTGAATGGATCTACCAAAGTATATTGGAGTTGAAGCTTGTTTTTTACTGCCAATAATTGACATTTCAGTATCGTAAGCAAATGGAGCTATTGGTTTGAAATTAAATAAAACTGAACCTACTTTACTAACTAGTGGACCTTCAGTTGAGGTAATTTCTTCAACTTCACAATAGACGACATTTTCAGGTGAAAGAGTCTTTACAAATTTATAAATTAGAGTATCGGTTGGTTCGGTTGGGTCATAATGGTCACCTAAAATTTGTTTTAATCTTGTATAGTTGTTGTTGTGGTCCAATCTTTCATTGAAAATTACATTTGTATCAACCTCATCTTTGGTTGCTAAACGTGTTTCGAGAAGAGTCTTTGAATTGAACAAACCAGATTTAATATAGAATTTCATCTTTGAAAGTTGAACTTTTGGATCAATATTTTGATCGAAACGAATCCAATGAATTGAATCAATTAATTCGGGATATCTTGAACGATTATTTGTTAAACGATTAGAATCAGTTGAAATAGTAAGAGCATCTAAAAAGTTTGAATCCATAACATATCCTTTAGCAGAGAATAAATCATCTGGAAGTGTGAATCTATAACTTGTCGATTTTCTCCATGTATTAAGTGGTTGGTCACAAATTAACTCTTGGTTTGCTGAAAGTTTCCATGTAAGTTCAAAACCTGGGTTTGGTAAAACACTAATAATTGGTACAATTAATGTTGAGAGAATTTCTGGTGGTACATATGAACTTGTGCTACCATTGGTATTGACATAGAATAATGGTTCAGAGAATGAAATTCTAACTTTGCCATCAAAAGTATTACAGAAAACACGGGTGGTATTGGTTGTAAAGTAAATATTAAGAGACTCTTTAATTTCTAATGGACCTTCGGTTGAAATAGAAGATCCCTCTTTAATTGATAAATGATAAGAAGAGTTTGGGAGTAATTGTGGTACTGTTCTTAATGATACCCAACGAGATAAATCATCTGAAATATCGTGGTTAACATGAGTAAAATCTTCAGAAGACTCTAATGTGAATTTGGTTTTCTTTTTGTCTTCGCTTGAGGTTTGTACAATTGTTGCATGTTTTAATAAATCATCAATATTTACTTTTTGGTTAAAGAAAATAAGAATAGGACGTGAAAGATATGCAGTTTGGAAACCATTGGTTGGTATTGATGTAATAACTGAGACAGTTGGAGTATTGAAAGAACATCTATCACTATCAATATCTGATGGCTTATACTTTTCAGAGGTTTCTGATTCAACCGTAACTGGTATAGTCACTTTATATTTGGTTGAAAATGGAATAACACCTTTGAAATGACCATTAATAGTGTTTGATAGATTGTTTACTGTCCATTCACATTCAACATTTGGATTTGGTGTTAAAATTGGACACCATGACTCTGGAAGTGGGATTTCATTGCCATCACTACTTGATTGAATGATATTTAATCTTTGATTAAATAAAATTGAAACATTTCTTTCATATTGAGAAAATGTAATTTTTTCGACATGTAGATGATCTGAAATAGTAAAATGGAAAGTTTTTCTATCTGGATTAACTTCACCACCCTCTGCAGATGGAACATTGGGACCAATGGAAAGTGTATAATTTGAATTTGGAACCATTTGTAACATTCTAATAAACATTACAAAATTCTCTGGATTTGAAAATGCAACTGGCATAGCTGAAAGTTGTTCAGTAGGTACTACTTCACGATCTACATTGACAAAAGAAATTTTATGCTTTTTATCATTATGGTCAAGTGCTTCTAATTTCATAACCTTGAGCATATCTGCAACATTAAACTTTTGATTGAAATGAATACCAATGATATCATTATCAATTGGAATAATATTACCTAATGATGGATAAACTTGTGCAACACTGTTAAATTGGGTATAAAAATCATATACAACATCCTTTTCTAATTGAGTACCAAATTTAGATTCAATTGATTTATCGAGAATAATTTGGTAATGTGTTGATAAATTCCAAATTGAAAAATCTTCTAATTTTAATCTATAAGTATTTTCATTTATAACTTCATATTCCCATTTTGCAACTGAATTTGGAGGTGTTGGTTTAATTGTTATAAATTTATTCCAATCAATTAATTCATTTGTATTTGTATTTGTTGTTGATGTTGATGTTGATGTTGAAGTTGAAGTTGAAGTTGATTCTTTATTTTCAGTACTTTCTTCATTTTCTTTATTTTCTACTTTTTCAGTTTCTTTAATATTTTCATTATAATAATCAATCAATTTCTTATTTGAATTATTACTTTCATTATTATTATTATTTTGATTATTATTACTAGTAAAATCTAAATAAATTAAATTATTTAATGATTTTAATGGTTTATTGAAATTGATGAAAAAGAAATATGGTGAATGAATAATAGTATTGTTATTTGGAGAAATACCAACTGGTTGGAATTTATCGGCGTGAATATTATCAATAATGGTTTCCTCTTTACCTAGTAATGGGCCTTCTAATGATCTGATACCAGCACCAATAATTAATTTTAATTGGCCAACTGGAATTGGTTTAACTGGTTTAAAGAAAATAATTGATTCATCTACGTTATGTTGTTTGAAATATTCTGGAATTTCCTTGTATTCATCGATTGAAATACGATTGACTAACTGAACTTCAATTTTTTTTCCACCAAAAAATGATTCTGTTGGTTGAATACGAACAGCTTGAATAACACTTTCGGGATCAACTTTTTGATTAAAAATAACACTAAACAATTGATTATGGTTAATTGAGTAAGTGTGAGATCTTGGGTAACAATGAACCATTTGAACTGTTTGTGTTGAAACTTCACCAAGTAAAGGTTTTTCGATTCTCTTTTCTAAAACTGATAAGAGGCCAGTTGGTGGTAAACCTACTTGGTAAACTGTTGATTTTCTAAAATCAACATCTCTATTTAATCTGAATGATAATGAATATCTAGTCAAAGCACTCCATTCACCTTCGATTGATGGTGAAATGACTGGATAAACAGTTGGGCCAGTTGGTATATAGTTTGGATTCCTTGTTATATACTCTTCTGGATTTGACATATAGCTATTGTAATCATATACACTTGAACAAATTGGTTGAGAAAATGTTACAGTTATTGATTTTAAATCACTGCCAAGAATAACTGATTCGCATGAGAATGTTTTAAAAGTAGCAAAAAAGTATGATCCATTTGAATAACACTTTGATGGTCCTTCGAGTGATTGTAATTGAGTACCTGTGATATCAAAACTAAAGGCACCATCTTCTGAGAGAGGTTTAATTGGCTTAATACAAAATAATGAATTTGGTTGGGATTCTAAAACTATTCTTTTGAAAAGATCAGTTTCTTTTATCATTAATCTAAGACCAGTGGCTTGTTCAACCTCTTGCTCAGTGGTACCAGTAGGGATAGTTGTATAATCAATAGTTTTGGCGATTAAATTATTATTGGTTTTAAATGAAATTGATTTTTTGACAGACTCTTCATTGACAAGTTGATTAAATTTGATAAATATAACCATATTATTTGAAAAAGTATTGTGTTCACTTGCATAAGTTTTACCATTATCCAACAGAATAAATGATAAACCATCATAAGCATAAGCAGTATACTCCATAGCTCTAGTGTGAACTTTTAACTCAATTTCTTCCATTTGTTGCCCTTGTTGATTCTTGGGACCATTTTCGGTTATAATAGTATAGACTGTCGATGATGGCCATTTTACTTCTTCATCCAATTCGAATGTCATATGAGTTTCATTATAAGACCAAGTACCAGCTGGTAAATCGGGTATAATCTTTGGTACCCATGATTTAAATAATTCTGCATAGTTTTGAATTCTACAAGCATAACTGATTTGTAATCTTGAAGTTGGAGTATTTGGATGCATACTAATAGATGGTATAAATGATGGAAGAGTAGTAAATGTTTTATTATCTGATAAAAATGTTCTAACTGGACCCTCTAATGATGGAGCACCTTCTTTTAATGTGACTGTAATATAATTACTACTTTGAAAACCGTATAATGGTTTAATACCAATATTTTTACCTTCATAACCACTAATTTTAAAATTAAAAAAAAATTAATATAATTAATAATAATAATTTTTAGTGAATATTTAAATACACTCCTTACCTTATTAAATCTTTTAATAATGGATCCTGTTTCATTACCTCTTCATGAATAAACTGTAAAGTATTTGGGCCTTTTGGGGATTGTCTTAAATTATCACAATGGATGAACGGTAAGAGCTCTTGTGGTGAAACCTTTTGATTAAAACCAATAAAAATAGTTTGAGTGTGAGAATATTGTACACCGGAATCTAATGGCATAAATTTTTCAATTTTAAGAGTTTGTGTTGTAAACTCAAAAGTTTGGCCCATAGTTTGAACGAGAGTACCTTGTGGTGGAACTTTAAACTCGGCTGGAATTGTAATAGTATAGGTTGTACTTTTTTTCCATGGTTCTAATGGTGTATATTTCAATAATTTAGTCATTGAATCAAAAGTCCAACCATTAAGTGGCTTATCTCTTGCGAAACCTGGATTTCTTGGTACTACCTCTGGGCACCATAATAATTGGTTTGATTCTTTATCGACAATATCACTTGGGAAAATATTAAATAGTAACTCTATTACAAAATCAGTTTCAACTTGTACACCTGGTTGAAAATATGCTTTGATGGATTCGACTTCATCTCTTTTATTCTTTAACTTTTCTAACTCTAACTCTAATTTCTTTAAAATAAAAAATAATATTAATATTTAAAAATGAAAAAAAAAAAAAAAAATTTTTGAAAATCTTAAAAAAAAAAGAATCTTGATGAAAAAAAAAAAAAAAAAAAAAAAAAATATAAAGAAATAACTTTTAAATTATTTATATTTACTCTGTCATTTTCTTTTCTATTTTCTTCGTATTGTTTTTGTTTTTGTTCTTGTTCTAATCTTTCAGCTTCAGTTTTTGGTGGGTTAATTGGTGGGGGGAATTTTAATTGACGAGTAGTTTCAACATTACTCTTATTTGTAAAAGGTTTTTCGGTTGGTTCTCTAATATCTTTTGAAAAACCCTCAATATTTTTATTAACTTCTGTTAAAACATAATTTTCTGGAATTTTTGAAAGTAACTCTTCCAATTCTTTTCCTTCAATTTTACCCTCTTTAATAATTGTTTCATTATTATTATTATTATTATTATTATTATTATTATTATTATTATTATTATCGTTATTTAATTCGTTTGATGTAGATGGTTGGTCATTATTATTTTCTTCTAATTCTGATGTTATTTTAATTTCATCATCTACTGATTGTTTCTCTTGTTGATCTGTTTCTTCTTGCTTTTCTTGTTGTTGTTGGAGAATTATTGAGTCCAACTCTTGTTTTTTAACTTCGCTGAGAGTAAAATCAAAATTCATTTTTATTTATTTTTATGTATAATGATATTTATTTTATAAAAAAAAATAAAATAAAAACAATTTAAATTTGTATAATATTACAATTATTAAATATATATATTTAAAATATTTAGTTTTTAAAAAATAAATAAAATTACTTATGTTATTATCTATTTACAAAATATTTATTTATAAACTATTTAAAAAATCAAAAAATTATTTTTATAATAAAAAAAAATATACATAATTTTTTAAAAAAAAAATCAAAAAAAAAAAAGAAAATTTTGATTTTTTTTTTCATCAAAAATTTTATTTAATTTTTTTCAGATAAATATTTTCCGTTAATTTTTTTTTTATAAAACATTTGCAATAATAAAATTATAATAATCAAGTCTATAAAAAAAAAAGATATTTTATTAACGAATTTATCATCATTTTCAAAAATAATTAATTTTTTTTTTTAAAAATATGGTAATTTATTTTATCTTTTAATTAATTTTAAATTATAATGTTTTGGTTTAATTACAACACTCCATTGTTCTGTATCATCAATTAATTTCCCATCAAATGGTTCTAATTTATATTTATATAAAATGTTTGTAATACAAACAATTGCTTGGATAACTGTAAGATTTTTCCCTCTAAAATAAATTTTTTTTTTTTTTTGTTTTTAATATTTTTTTGTTTTTAATATTTTATTAAATTTTTTTTTTTTTTTTTTTTTTTACAATATTATGATACTTACAAACAACTTCTATTTCCAATACCAAAATGAACACTAATTTTATCAAGATTGTTATATAGACTATTTTCAAAAACATTTGGGTTTTGTTTTTTGGCTCTATAATATTCAATCCACCTTTCAGGTTTAAATATTGAAGGAGATTTAATATAACTTTCAGAATTTAATATACCAAATACATTCCCTATAATTTGGGTTCCTTTTGGTACAAAAATATCTTTAATCATTGTATCTTCAGTTGCAACTCTAGGAAGACCCAAGAAAACAATAGGACGTAACCGTAATGTCTCTTTAATGCATGCATCCAAAAACTCCAATTTATTTATGTCACAATCTTTGTAAAATATAAAATCAAGACTTTTATTATCATTTACAATTGTCATAATTTCTTGATAGATCTTTTCTTGATACTCTGGATGGTTTGTCAAATATAACAATAGAAACTCAATAAAATGCGCTATAAAGAAAAATAATAAATTATTTTAACAATTTTAATAATAAATAACATCAATAAAATAAAAATAATTATATATAATTACCAGATGTATCAACACCAGCAGCAAAAATATCTAAACAAACATGGATAACAGATTTTTGATCACCTTCAGTTTCAATAATTAACTCATCCATTACATCTCTGGGTCTAAAATAAAAATAAAAATAAAAATATTAATAGATTTTTTTTTTTTTTTTTTTTTTTTTTTTTAATACTTTTTATAATCTAAAGTTTCAAAATGATCCATATATATTTCATTCATTAAATTAAAAACATGTTTTGCAGTATTTTTATATTTTAATCTTTTAAAATAAAAAAATGGTTTAAAAATACTGATATAATCAGAAATATCAATGGACAAACTATCTGATAGTTCTTTTACTGGGTTAATCAGTTGTGTTAGAACTGAATCTTCTCTGTCACTATATGGAATTTCTTTTGATATTAAGATTTCAATAATAACATTTAAGCTAAATTTAGGTATTAAAATTGTTGGAGAAAACTATTTAAAAAAAAAACTATTAAAAAAAGATTTAAATTTAAATTTTAAAATAAAAAAATTACTTTTTGATTATCATTCATATTTAATAATAATAACTTCATATGCTTTTCAAACAAAGAAACATAAACTGTTAAGTTCATTTTTGTAAAAGAATGACCAACAATACTTTTCATTTTTTTCCAATGATTGTTTGGGGAAATGCCAAGTTTTTAAAATCCCCAGAAAATACTTTTAAACCTTCTAATTTTGGTCTTTCATTAAAAACTCTAAATTTTTTTACCCACACTTCATTAAATGATATTGGATCATTTATACAGATTGAATACAAATCTGTTATTTTAAAATTTCAAAATGTTAATTTTTTTTTTTTTAAAATAAAAGGAATCAAATATTTACCACCAAAATATAAGCCAATGGGTTCATTATTATAAGATTTTGAAATTTTTTGTAAATCCCTATGGGGATTTTTAGAAATATAAAGCAATGAACCTAAAAATGGAATTTGCCATGGTCTTTTTGCATCATTTTGTTTGCACCTATAATTTTTTTTTATCTTTTTTTTTTTTTTTTAAAAAATAATTAATTATTAAGTTTTAGAATTTTTTAAAGAATTTTTTTATTACAAAATCATATAAAGTTAATATAATAATAATTAAAAATATTGTATAAAATATTTCCATTTTAATATTATAAATTGAAAAAAAAAAAAAATTAATTATTGTATTTTATTTTTTTGAATTACTCTAATTTTTTTTTATAAACTGTTTAAAAAAATAAAAAAAAAATAAAAAATTTTATTAATAAAATGTTTAAAATAACTCATTAAATTTTTTAATCTTTCAAATAAAAAAGATTATTATTTTATTTATCTTGTGTTGATTTTTTTAAATAAAAAAAAAAAAATTTGGGACGATAAAACCTTTTAATTTTTAACCACCAATTATATTTATAAAAATAAAAAAAAATAAAAGTCAACACACCAGTTTTTTTTTATCCTTTTTAAAAAAAAAATATTTAAAGAAAATATTTTAATGTGTTATTCATTTTAAAAAAATATAAAACATAATAATAAAATGTATTCTTTATTTAAAAATATAAAATTTCCAAACCATTGGATTCCTCCTATAGAATTTGAAAATAAAGAGCAAGTAAAAGAGAAATACTTTAAAAGATATTGTGAACTTGGTTTCTATAATGAAAATAGTATAAAAGATAAAGTTATGAATTCTTCATCAGTTTTACTTTCATATTATTTTTTTTCAGTTGCAAAAAATGACCAAGAGTTTAATTTAGGGTATGATATTATGGCTGCCTTTTTTTCAACGGATGATTTCTTTGATGGAAAGCCAGAAAACTATAATAACCAAACAGCAAAAGAAAGAATTTTTAATATTATTAAAAATGAAGGAAATTGTTCATTTAGTGATTTTAATCAAAATGAAAAATTTTTAATAAAATATATTATAGACTCTAAAGAATATAGTAAAAATAATTCAAACAAACAAATACTCTATTATAAAATTTTACAAGGATGGATAGATTATGTTGAATCTTTGGGTCCATATAATTTATTAGAGGTAAAATGAAATTTCATTTTTTATTTTTTTAATAATTTAATTATTAATTTATTTAATTTATTTAATAGAACTATAGTTATAATGAAACAATTCATCTCTTTATAAGAAGGTTTGATATCGCCTATTTACCAGCATGCGATTTAGCAATAATGATGGTAATTGAAAACTTAAATATAAGTATCATGTACCATCCAAAATATTGTTTAATGCATTTAGATTTAGCAAAATCATTGTCTTTAATTAACGATCTTCATTCTTTTGAAAAAGAGTTCTTGGATGGACAAATTAAAAATAACTATCTTTATAAGATAATTGAAAAAGGAAATGATAATAAATCTTTTGATGTCGGATCATTTGATATTGGTGTGAAAAAAATATTTAATGATATCAACAAACTTAATCAAAGTGCAGAAAATTATGAAAAAGAATTACTTGAAGAATTTCAATTAAAACTAAATGAAAAACAATTTGATGAATTTAAAAAAGTTATAACTGCAAGTTTATTAATAAATGGGGGTAATTTAGTTTGGGGTAATACCAACGCAAGATATTCAACAAAAAATTCAATATTTATTGAATTAAAAGAAAAATATGAAGAAAGTTGTACAACTTATTTAAATACTAAATCATTATTTGGTTAGATAAAAAATAAAATGTTTTTTTTTTTCTCAAAAAAATATTTTGTAAAAAAAAAAGTTTTTTTTTAGTAAAATATTTTTCTTTATTATAATAAAAAAAACAAAAAAAAAGCCATTTGTTTTTCAAACGTCAAAATAAAAAATACGAAAAATAAAAATTTTAAAATTACCAAATAAAAATATAAAAATATAAAAAAAATTTTTTCAACTTTTAATCATTCAAATTATACATTATTTATAAACAAATGAAAAAAAATATTTTTTTATTTTTATTTTTTTTAGTAATAACCCTATTAAAAAATAAAACCAATGGTTTTAATATATCACCAAATTGGATTGCCGATCCTTTAACGGATCAAATTCATTTATTTGGAGATATTGATTCATACCAATCAATAAAAGTTATTTTAGATTATCAAATTTTAGATAATGTTACCAATACAATAAAAGATAAAAACATCCAACTATCTGTAAACCAAAAAACCAGTAGCTATATAGTTTGTTTAATTCCACAACCCCTAAATATTGCTAAAACAAATGGCAAAATAAATGTAGAAGCAATTTTTAGTTCCTCTGGTGCACTAGATCTAAGTATTCTTCCTGTTACTTTAATTCAAATTTCGAAATATTATTACTATCATGGCTATCTTGAAATTGTTGGAAATTATTTTTTATCATTAGATAAAAGTTTATTTACAATAGATATAGTAGGCATAGGATCTGATAGGCAAACCATTTTAAATGTTTCAGATAATTTTATTTTATCAAGTGGTTCTGATTCTTTACCAACTATAGTTAATTTTGGCTATGGGCCAGGTTCAATTGTTTCAATCCCAAAAATGGAAAAAAGACAAACATACATTTCAGAAATTACACCAAATATTTTAAATAATTTATACACTCCAATTACTTTAAAAGGTGCATTCTTTGATACAATTAATATAACATTTGAATCACCCGAATCTATAAATATAAATCCAGATCAAAGTAAATTTAAATATTTAAATCCAAATGATAATTCAGCAATTGTATATCAAGATAAAGAAATTAGAATGACTATGGGAAACTATACTGTATATAATACACAAAATATTCATGGTATGGGGGTTTACCTTACATCCAATAAAATCTCTTATAAACTGGAATATTCACCACCATTAATTTATTACTCTTCCTCTTTATATTTTAATGAACCTGGTCTTATTACGATTAGTGGTGATTCATTTTGTTGGGAACCAGTGGTTTCTATTGGTTTAAATCAAAATAACAACTGTATTCTTAAAGATGTTAATATTGAAAAGAGTAAAATCTATTGTTTTTTTGATGCAAATATTAAACCTGCTGTTTTAAAAGGTATAGACCAACCACTTCAAGTAACTGTTGATTGTGGCTCTTCTCTTTATGGATCTGCAAATGTATTTTTATATCTAACCAAACAAATGAATTGCCCTAAAGGTGAAAATAACCAAACATGCTCAAACAATGGTAAATGTAATGAAAACACAAAGCAATGTATATGTGAAGCTGATTTCAGTGGTTTCGATTGTTCTTTAGCCAGTAGTGTTAAACCCTCTAAACCCATTATAAAAAAAGCAGATACAATTATTGAAACAAGTGGTTCTCGTTTTGATATTGGAATAATTCAAATCAGGGAGGTTTCATTTAATGAAACTATTGAATCATCATTTAATCTAACCAATCAAGAATGGATAGAAAATAATGATACGCTCGCCTCAGAAGAAACAACAACAAATACTTTAATTAATTATTTTTTAAATACAAAATTAAAGAATGGTGCAAAAATTTCAGTTGGTATAACTATTAACAACGATCAAGAAAACTCATTAACCTATGACTTTTTGGGCGATTCTATTGAATTATTACCAAACTCTGTTAAATATAAAACTGAAATAGAGTGGCCATTCAAGTCAATATTAAATAGTTTAGAAATAGTTTTCCAATCTCAGGTTTCTAGTAATGTTTGTAACGATAATGAGTATAATCAAAAAATTTTAAAGTATGGTGATTCATTAAGAACTATTGAATTAACAATGATTAATGGTCAAACTTTAGTTGGTACCTTTTCAAATCGTATGAATGTAGACGATCAAGTCATTGTTAGTATTGTTAAGCTTTTAAATCAAAATGAAACCTATGGTTTACCAGTTATAAAAACAAATAGTAATACAGAAAAAACTTTATTTTCAAGTATTAAAATTCCTTACTTTAAAACCAAATCAATTATTGACCCAAGTTTTGGTGTATTATTGGATAATAACTTTAAACCATCTGATAATTGTAATGTTGGTTTTAAAAGTTGGAAAATTGCTGTAATTGTTGTAACATCTTTTGTCGGATTAACATTATTAATAATTTCAACTTTAATTATTTATAAAAAAATTAGAAATACAAATTTAATTTTAGATTTAAAGTTAAAAGTATTAAATAAAAATTAATAAATAAAAGTAAATAAAATATAGTTGAGTTTATATTAATTAAAAAAATTTTAATATATAATGGATGTATTGTAATTGTTTATTTAATTAAATAATGGGATGTTCCAGAATTTAGCTAATTATAAAAAAAATAAAAAATAAAATTAGTAACCATTAATCTTTATATTTAATAATTATAAAAATAATATACATACCTGGATCGCAAGTTCTAAGACCTAAAATAAAATTCAATTAAAAATATTAGTAAACTGGAAAGATATTTTTTTAAAAAAATTATAAATAAATACCTTTGTTCATTGAATCTAATTTTTCCATATCAGCATCTGTAATAGTGAAATCTAAAATGTTAAAGTTTTCAGCAACTCTAATAGCGGTAGTACTCTTTGGAATAACTGAGAAACCTTTTTGGACAGACCAACGGCAAAGGATATTTGGGATTGATTTGTTGTAAGTTTTAGCAACTTGGCCAACGATTTCATTATCAACAAAAGCACCATTACCTAATGGACTATAAGCAGTTAAATGAATATTGTGTTGATCACAGAACTTCTTTAACTCTGGTTGTGAGAGGAATGGATGTAATTCAACTTGGTTAACAGCTGGTTTAATCTTTGCATAACTTAATAAATCGATTAAAGATTGAACATTAAAGTTTGAAACACCAATTGAACGAACTAAACCTGCTTCAACTAATCTAAAAATAAAAATTAAAGTTTAATATACTTTTATATAAATAAATTTTATTTAAAATAATAATAATATTTAAAATAATAATATTTACTTTTCCATTTCTAACCAGGTATCACGAATAGGTACTGGAATGGTGGTGATATCATCTGTAAATTTTTCGCCGGTATATTTAAAAGCAACTGGCCAGTGAATTAAATCTATCATAATTATGATTAAAAAATTTATTATTATTATTATTATTATTAATGTTTTCAAACTGATTAAAACTATAAAGTTTAAATACATACATAAATCTAAATATTGTAAACCTAAATCTTTTAATGTAATTTCGCAGTGTTTTCTAACATTTTCTGGTTCGTGACAAGTATTCCAGAGTTTTGATGTAATAAAAACGTCTTCTCTTGAAATACCGCTTGAGAATTTCTTTGCAAAAGCTTCGCCAACTTCTTTTTCATTCTAAATTATATGTTAATATAAATTTTTTTTTTTTTTTATATATAAATTAATCTTACACCATAAATAGCAGCACAATCAATATGTCTGTAACCAACTTCTAAAGCTTTTTCGACAGCAGAACCAACTAATTTTTGTTCTGATTTCCAAGTCTAATAAATTAATAATATAAAAATAAAAAAAGTAAATAAATGTTATTGTTAATTGATATTTAATAATCGATAATAAAAAACTTACACCAAAACCAACTAATGGGACATTATATCCAGATGATAATTTAACAGATGGTTCCATTTTAAATTTTATATATGATTATTTATTTAGTTTGAAAAATGAAAAGAAATGAAAAAAAAAAAAAAAAAAAAAAAAATTTATAAAAACAAAAAAAATAAAAAATGAAAATTTATTAAAAAAAAAATAAAATAAAAAATAAAATTCTTATAGAATTTTTATAAATTCGGTGGGTGTGTTTACATAATGATTCAATAAAAAAAAATGTTGAAAAACAAGAATCTAGATTTTTTTTGTGGTGTTATTCCAAATTAATAAAAATAAAAATAAAAATAGAAAATTATAAAGAATTTTTTTTTAAATTTTTATGAAAATATAATTTTATTCTATTATGCCAAAAAAATGTTATTTTTAAAATGAAATTTATTAAATTGCTTGGTGAATTTCATCTAAAAATTCTTTATGATTTTCTAAATAATAAAAATATATTGATTCTTCATTCAAATCTTCATCATTCTCCAGTGTTATTTCAGTATATCTAAGTAAAAAATATTATTAATATTATTTAAAATTGAATATAATTATTATTATTATTATTTTTAAAATAAATTTATAATTACAATTTCATATTTGAATAATCTATTAAAGGTAACCAAAAATTATTTAAACTATATTTACCAATTTCTAAATTCTTTGATTCAATTTCAGATTTTAAAAATAAAACTAGAGGTTCTTTATATCTTTGAAAACCGACATGACCTAAAAAAGTAATTATTCTAGAGATTCTTAAATTATTATGACCATTGTTTTTTAAATTTTTATACCTTCTACTTGAAAATACTAGATCAGGATGACGTTCAACTTGACCAGTTTCTCTATTTTGTAACTTTATTCCATAAAAATTTAACATCATTTCGTAAGATGTAACTATTCTTTTTGCAATATCTATATCATTTCTAAATAGTTGAGCCTCTTCCCTTGTCAATTTATTTGCATGATAATTCATTCCATTATTCATATATAAAGGAAATAACCATTGAACAAAACCATGATGCATTTCTAATAAAGAGTAATCGTTATGCCACTAAAAAAAAGAGTTAAATATTTTTTTTTAAAATATTTATAACTATTATAATTATTATTATTATTAATTATTTTAATACATACAATTGAATGAATATTATCAATAAAATCACCATTAGGTTTTGATATAAGAAAATTTTTATAAAATTGATAATTTAATAATGAAGATAATTGAATTTCATCAATACACATATGATATTTTATAATTTCTTTATTTTCATTTTCATAAATTTCTAAAAGCAATTCGTTATCTTTATTAATTTCTATAGATTGTTTGATATCTAATGATATACTTTCATATTCTTCTTCACCTTGTTGATCATTTAAATTATAAAGTTTAATTAAACATTTATCATTTAAATTAAAATTATTTCTTGAAATTATTATTTTGAATTCTCTCTTCATACAATGACAAAAACAACCTTCTATTTTGATATAATCATAAAATAATTCATTTTTATTATTGTTTATATTTTTATTTATTAATTTATTATTTAAACATTCGCAATTGCATTGACATTCACTACCCTCCAAACTATTATTATTATTATTATTATTATTATTATTATTATTATTATTATTATTATTATTATTATTATTATTATTTTGTTTTTGTTTTTGTTTTTTTTTTAAATGTAGATCTTTTTGTTGTAATCTTTTATTTGAAAAAGGGAAACTACAATTACAATTACAGGTGCATTTATTGGGTATAATAGTTTCTAATCTTTTTGAACTATTTTCATAAATTTTTCTTATTATTACTGAATAAAACTTGGGTTTTGACATTATTTAAATTTATAAATATAAAATATAAAAAAAAATATAAAATTAAAAAAATAAAAAAATAAAAAAAAATAAAAAAACTTAAAAAATAAAAACTTAAAAAAAAAAAAAAATTATAAAGCAAAGTAAATATAAATTTAAACTTAAATATATATATATATTTATTTGTTTATTTGATTTTTATTTTAATTTATTTTTCAATTTTTTTTTAAATCATAATCGAGATAATTTGAATATCTATCTAAATTTTCAAATGTATAATCCCTAAGTAGTTTTGTTATATTATTTAATTGAACCATTTGTTTATTTTTAATTAAAGAACGTAAAATTGAAAGCCAAATTTCATCTTGATAACCTCTTACGGTTTTAACCATATTAATGTAATAGCTTGAAGTGAGAATCTCTTTGATATTATTGAAAACGATTTGATTGTCGCACTTTGATGATAAATAATTTAAAATATGGTAAAAACTATGTATATCTGCTCTGTTAGCTTGAATTAAAAATTGGAAATGGCTCCATGCTGATACGATATCGTTCTTTAATAAATACCATGTTATGATTTGATTTGATACTACAATTGAATTCCTTATATATGTAGTAAGCTTTTCGGTATCACTTTCACTAATCTCCTTGGATAACATTTGAATGTAACTTTCAATAATTTCTGGTAAATTAATTTGATCAATTGATACCTCTTCTTGCATGACTAGTCTATTTACTGAAACCAAATATGAAAAAAAGGGTTTCATTGTATGATCATTGAACTCAACTCTTTTGGAAAGCAAACTATTATTTAATAATTGTCTTGATACCATATCCCAAAAACTATTGAGATCTTTTAAATTATTATTGCTCTTTACTGATAAAAACGAATAGATCATTAGATATACCCAGTAATTTGAAACCAAATGTTTATTCTCTTGAAAAAGTGCTTCGGTACTAAAAAGCATTTGATAATAATTGTAGATTTCGTCTTTGAGGTTATATTTATAAAGTAAATGAATTATGGATGAAAATAAAAGTTCGTCATATTGTTCCAATGCTAAATCTTTCTTGAGTTGTTCATAATAATGGAGGAAAATTTCTTTTGTTTTTTCGGATTTTTCAAGATTATTTAAATTCTTGATTATTGATGAATAAAAAACTCTATCTGGTTTCAAACCACTGTCTTTAACCATTTTGAAAACCGATTCAATAAACTTGTATTGGCCAGTCTTTGCTAACTTTGAAATTAAAAAACTATAAGATATAAGATCGATTTTTTTTTCCTTATTTCCTAAACTTAAGTATTCCATTGCTTTTTCGAAATTGGACTCTGATAGATAACCATTTGTCATTATTGTAAAGGTTTGTGCTCGACGATTTTGAATATTATTAAACAACCTTTCACACTCTTTCATATTTGGTACTAATGAATAAATATGTAACATTTCTCTATAGAATATTTCTTTTTCGAAAATAAATAATTGATTTTCAATTCTTTCAAAAATACTAATAGCTTCTGCTATATCACCTTGTTTTTTTTTATTTATAATTTGTGTTAATATTTCACCATTTCCTCTATTTTTTTTTTCTAAAAAACTCTTTTTATTATTATTATTATTATTATTATTAAAGTTATAAATATTATTATTGTTATTACTATCAAAATTATTATTATTTAAACTATCAAAATTATTATCTGTAGTATAAAACAATTTGAAATTGTTTTTATTTTTTATTGCTGTATTATTAAGATTATAAATAAATTTATTTGTTTTTGAAACATATTTAATAAAATTATTTTTAATTGTATTTGATATCATTATTTTTACTAAAATACATTATGAAAAAAAATAAAAAAAAAAATTAACGAAAAAAAAATACGATTTTTTTTTTATTTTTTATTTTATTTTTTTATTTTATTTTTTTTTTTAAATAAAAAAAAAAACTACTTTTTATTTTTTTTTATTTGTTTTTATTTATAGTTATTATTTATAATTGTTCATTTATTTATATATTTTTTTTTTTTTTTTTTTTTTTTTTTTTTTAATAATTTTAAAATTTATAAATCAAAATTTATAAATGAATGAAAAAATTATTATTTAATATTTAGGTAATTAAAGCTATTATTTATTTAAAACTTAAATATTCAGTTATTGCTGTGTCACTATTGTTATTTATTTTTATTTTTTTAATTTTTTTAAAAAAATTTATTTTTATTTTTTTAATTTTCAAATTTTTTTTTTTTTTTAAATTTTTTTATTGTTCCATAGCATTACCACAAGATATAAAAAATAATATTTATTTAACTAAATAAAATGTTACCAACTACAATTTCAGATATTACCACACCAACAGCACCAGCTGCTTGTGCATCAAATGAAATTACTACAACTCCATCTCAATTCTCATCATTTGAACAAGACATTGAATACTGGGATGAAGATAAAGTATTCCAATGGGCATTAAAAAATAGACAAGGTCAATACTATGCTGATATTTTAAGAATTAATCATATAGATGGTCGTGCTTTATTAAATCTCACAGAAAAAGATGTTAGTCTTATGGGTATCAGTATTGGACCAGCTAAAAATTTATTGGCCGATATTCATTCAATTAAATATAAAAGAAATATTAATTGTAAGTATTATTTTATTTCAAAAAAAAAAAAAAAAAAAAAAATTAATTTTTTTTTATTTTAAAGGGGCATACGAAAAGGTATCAGATATTAATGATTTTGTACAATTATATTTCCCATTCCACAAATTAAAAGAAATGGGTACTGATGGATTTTATAGAGTTAAAGACTATAGTGTTGCAAGCTATTCATATTTAAGAGATAATTTAGGTACAATCGGAACTTATATTCCATTCATAAATAAAAACAATAGTATTCTTCCAGATAGAAACCCATTATTATTACAAGATAGCAAAAATTTAGGTGGTATTACACAATTCAATGCTCAACAACCAACTCAACAACCAGTTCAACAACAATTATATCCAACCCAATCACAAGAACAACCAATTCAACTTTATTCAAGTTATGAACAACAACCACAACAACCACAACAAGAACAACAATTTGAAAGACAAGAAATTATTCAATTACAACAACAAATTTTAAACGAATACCCAAACCAACAGCTTCCAATTTTTGATCAACAAATTGTTGGACAACCATCCGAAGAAGAATCTAAAACTGAAACATATTAATTTGTAATATTAAATTATTATTTTTTTTAAACAAAATATTTATTTTTAAAAACCAAATAAATTTTTTTTTTTTTATTAATATAAAAACATGGGTGTAATAAAAAAGTTTTAATTAAATAAAGTTTTTTTTTTTTTTTTTTCTTAATAAATAGATATAATTTTTACAAAAAAAAAAAAAAGATTCTATTAATTAATTTTATTTTTTTAATTGTTTTGGTTTAGATTGATGAATAGTTTTGAAAAAGAATGCATGTGGGGGTGATGGATCTGGTGAATAACTTTCATCATCATCATCAACATATTCTTCGTCATCTTCGTCATCAGATGAAAATGAATCTATATCTTTAGTATCTGTAATACTATCTTTATGTACACGATTGCTATTATTACTTAGATTTCCACCGCTGTTATGACCAAAAATTGTTTTAATTTCTGTTTGTAATTTGTTATGATTTGAACGGTCAATATTATCTTGAAAATCAATATAGTTTTCTCCATTTTCATTTTGCTTTATTATACGATTACCCATATAATTTAAACTTTCATCTAATAGGTTATAACTATTATTCTTTATATTATTTAAATTATTATTATTACTATTATTGTTGTTATTGTTTTTAATTTCACTATCTCTACTATTTTTTAAAGAAGTTGAGTTACTATAATTTACAGAGTTATTATTATTATTATTACTATTATTATTATTATTATTATTATTATTATTATTATTATTATTATTATTATTATTGATTTCATTTTGATTATAATTATTACTATTGATGTCACTATTTACATAATTTTTAGATTGGTTGTCAAATTCTAAAAATTCATTATTATTATTACTATCCAAGTTATTAAAAGAATTCTTTAATGAACTATAACTACTATTACTAATTGTTTGAGAATTTGTAAGTTCATTTTGGTTTTCATCGTTGTTTTTGTTTTGTTTGTTTGATTTATTTACAAGTGATGAGAGGTTTGTTTGGCTGGTATTTGGGGTTAAGAATGGTGGTGATCTATTTGATCCACCATTTAAAATTCTTGGGCTCATATGGGTTGATCCATTATCGTCCAATAAATTAAATCTACTATGGAAAGAAGCGTGTGATTGTGATCTACTAAGTGTTGGTGGACTATTATTACCATTGTTACTATTACTACCTAGTCCACCATTTATCATTAAAATTTGTGGATAGTTAAATATATCCAATTGTTCTTTTTGAATATTATTATTATTATTATTACTATTATTATTACAACTATTATTATTTTCATTATTGTTTTTATTTTTATCACTATTCTTTTCTATATTAATTTTTTCACTATCACAATCACTAATATTGGCTATATTATTGTTATTATTATTATTATTAATATTGTTATTATTATTATCTTCGAAATTTTCATTCATTTCATTGACTTCATTTGATTCATTAACAATTCCTAATGTGTTATTATTTGTAATATTTGAGGCTAAAGAATTTGTTGAAATATTTTGATAGTTTTGTAATTGTTGTTGATAAGTATTTGAAATACTGGCACTGGATGAATAAATAATGGATGATGATGATTTTGTTCTATTAAAGTATGGAGAGTTTTGTTGTGGCTGTTGTTGGTTATTATTTTTTGTTGGAATATCAAGTTTATTTTTACTATTATTACGAAAAAATCCAAAAATTTTTACAAATTTCTTTATACCATTTGGAGACTGTTTATTATCATCACTAATGGTACTACTATTATCTGTAATAATATTTGAACTATTTTCGCCACTATCAAGTTCTAAAAGTGGTGATTTAATTGGTGATGATTCTGGTGTTAATGTAAGTCTTCTATTCTTAATTTCATCTGGTGATATTGGTATTGTTGGGTTATTTATTGAGTTGTTGGTTGATGATAATAAAGATGAGGATGATGCTGGTGAGGTTGTTATATTCATATTTTCATCGTTGCTACCACTTTTATTGCTTTTATTACTTTTGCTACTTTTAATACTTTCATTGCTTTTAATACTTTCACCACTAAACAATAATAAGTTTTCTCCATTGTTGTTGCTACTACTACTTGTACTAGTATTTATATTTGATTCCTCATTTTCTTTATTATTATCATTTGATTCTTTATTTGTTTTGTTTTTATCTTCTTTTTCTTTTTTATTGTTAACTGTTTTTTGAACCATCATTTTACTTTCATGTCTTCTTAAAAATTCAATATGTTGTCTATGTTCATTTGGTGAAACCATTAATTGAAGTTGTTGTTGAGCAGTCAAAGGTTTTTGAGGTTGTACAGGACTTGAGGTACCTTCAATTAAAATTTGATTTTGAATTTGTTCATGTAATTGTTGTTGCTTAAGTAACTGCTCTTTATGAACTTGTTGTTGTCTTTCTTGTTGTTGTTGTAATAATAATTGTTGTTGAGCTTGTTTATCTTCTTTTTTCTTTTGGAAATTTTTAACCATCTTTTTAACTGGATTCTTTTCATCACTATTACCACTATTATTATTTTTATTTGTTTCATTTAAGCTATTATTATTTAAAGTTAATGATGGTGTTGATGTTGTCGCTATATCTAATTTATGTAGTTTGCTATTGGTTTGAATTTTGTGTTTAACCCTTTTATTCATATCCTAAAACAGTGATTAATAAAAAAAATATTAATATATATTAAAAAAAATTTTGATATATTTAAATAATAAATTTTAAATGATTCTTACCTTATACCATTCACTATAGCCATCAAAATTTAAATCAACTTTAAAACCTTCTGAGAATGATTCATTACTAAACAATGAGCTATTTATAAAGCCACTTATATTATGATTTGAGTTATTGTTGTTTGATGCCTTTTGTTCAATATCTGATTTCGGTATTTCTAAATAACGGAATGGTGAAATTGCACATGACATTGATTGTGAAAATTCATTTTCTCTATTTTTATATCTATAATAGGTTTCTAGATCTGGACAACTTTGCCATACTTCAGTTTTCTTTACATTTACTGATGCAATTAATACTGATAAGTTTTTTTTTAATTTATTTTCAACTTCTTCAAAATTATTTTGTGTATCGATTGTTGGTACAACCGTAATATTATTTATTGAGCTATTATTTGATGACCTCTATTAAATAGTTTCATCTATTTCCATTTTGGTGATTTTAGGTGTTGGTGGTAATAGTTCACCTGTGGTTGTTGTTGCTCTTGCGTTGCCGTTGCCTGTCGTCATCCATGTCGTTGCTGTAAATGTTGTTGTCGTTGTTGTGGTGGTGGTGGTGGTGGTGGTGGTTCATTAAATTCAAGCTGTTGTATAGTGGGTGTTAGTGGTTCTTTTATTGGTAATAGAATCTGTACATTTTGCTGCTCCTGTTCATTTATTTGACCTTTTGGTGATAAAGATGATGAAGATGTATTGCTATTTGATGTAAATGGTTGTATTGGTGATGATATTGGTGTAGTTGGTGCGTTTAAATTTAATTTTAATGGTGATATTAAACTGCCACCATTTGGAACTGTAGCTGGTGAGGAACTTAGTAACTCTTGTAAAGCTAATTGTTGCTGTATACCTAATACTGGTGGGTTTTGCTGTATTGCAGTAGACAGTCTATAATGTCTAGATGATGGTATATTATTACTATTACTATTATTACCAATATTGTTATTATTGTTTTGGTTATTTAACTCACTTGAATTTTGTGGTAATATTACTGGTGGTGGTTTATTTGTTCCAGATGGAAATGCCAATGGTTCATAACTAGATTTATCATCTTGTTGTTGATTTTGCTCCTCTTTTTTTTTTTTCTGTTTTTTGTCAAAAAATCCCATTTTATTTTTTTAGTAAATTTTTTTATAAAAAAAAATAACAAAAAAAAAAAGAAGAACAAAAAAAAAAGAAAAAAAATAAATAATAAAGATATATGATAAATATATAATAAATATTTTTTTACACAATAAATATATAAAAAAAAAAAATTAAAAAATTAAAAAAAAAAAATTTAAAAATAAAAAAAATTTAAAAAAAAATTAAAATATTTTTTTTAATAATTATCTTTTTTTTTTAAATAATATTTTAAATCAAAAAAAAAAAAAAAAAAAAAAAAAAAAAAAGGCATTTTCATAAATATGGGAAAAGAATTTAATGAAAATTATTTTGATAACTTTAAAGAAATATTCCAACTTATCAGTTAGAGGGGGTAATAAGATTTTCAAAACTAAAGATAGATAAAAAATAACTCTTTCTTTTCTTCCAATAAATAACCAATACACTAATTATTAAATTAAAAGAGAGATCATTAAAAACAAATAAAATCCAATAAAATAAACATAATATTATATTATTTAAAAAAAAAAAAAAAAAAAACAAATTATTTAATTATATTTTTTATTAATAAATTAAAAACATTATTGTTGTTGATTTGGTTTTATTTTCTTTTTTATTTTATTTTTATTTTTATAATTTATTTAAAATACATTTGTAACTAAAAGAGAAAAAAAATAAAAATAATAATAATAATTAGTATATATTATACATTTAGAAATGATTGTTTAAAAAATACATACAGTAAAAGTTAATTTATTTCTATCCCAATGAGTGAAAAATTTGCCATCTGGTCCAGTAGTTCTATCAATTTCTTTATTTGGTATTTTAAAAGCAATAGTTTCATAGGGCTCTGCTGCAAATAATAAATACTGGTAGTCTTTATTTGGTGCCTCCACTCTTTGTTCAAATGCAGACATAATTCTATATCTTGGTTGCAATCCTGACTCTATTTCAGGGTAATCTATTTGAAACAATAAACTTAATTGACCTGTTTTACTATCTCTTTGTTTAATAATTTTATAACCTGGTCTACCAATTTTAATTGTTTTTTTGGGTGCAATTCTGCTTGAGGTGGTTTGACTAAATAAAATTTAATTTATATTATAAAAAAACAAAAGAAAACGGTAAATTAATATTATTAATAAGGGGTGAGCAATATAATCATAAAATCAAATTTACAATACTTACACATAATTTTTTGAAACTAAATTTTCTCTTTGTTCTTTTGCAGCACGACGGGCTAAATGAGTTTGATGTTTTTTACCTTGTGTATGTGCTAAATAGTTACCAATATTATTATGAACAGTTAAACACAACCTACATTCAAAAGAACCAATATGATTTGATATAATATATGGATCTTTAGAAATATCGATATGTTCTAATACTAACTGCTTTGTTCTTTCTCTTCTATCTATATTATCATATTGTGAACTTTGTAAACCACCACTACCTGCTTTACCAAAATCTGACATTTTATTTTATTATTTATTAATTTATTTATAATTATTACTATTATAATTGTTTAATGATATTTATATATATTTAAAAACTTTAGTTTTATTAAATTTAAAAAAAAAATAAAAAATAAATAAATTTTTAAAAAAATGAAAAAAAAAAAAAATATTTATTTTTTTTTTTTTTTTTTTTTTTCTTTTTTTGAATTTTTACAAATAATCATTTACTTATTTGTATATAAAATATCTATTTTATTTTATTTTTGTAACCAAATAACCCATTTATAAACCAAAATAACTAAATTATAAATCAAGATGTCAGATGAATATGATGATGATGATGAAATTTCTAAAATTAGAGAAGCTAGAATGAAACAATTAAGAGAAGAGTAGGATTATTATTTCTAATACCGCAATAAAACAGGAATATTAAGGTTTTTATAATTACTATTATTTAGAGCAAAACTAAAACCCCAATATTTAAATGAACATGGAGAATATAAAGAAGTAGATGAACAAAGTAAATTTCAAAATACTTTTTTTTTTTATTTTTTTTTTTTTATATTAATTATAAACCCCAACAACATTTTATTTGTTTTTATAGATTTTTTAAAAAGAAGTAACATCAAGTACAAATGTAGTTGTTCATTTTTTCCATAACAGATTTCCCACGTTGTAAAATATTAGATAGAAAACTAGAAATTTTAGCAAAAACTCATATGAGTACCAAATTCTTTAAAATAAATGTAGAAAAAGCAGCATTTTTTGTAGCCAAACTTAGTATTAGAGTTTTACCGGCCCTAATATTCTTCCGTAATGGTATTGCAGTTGATAGATGCATTGGTTTCGATGAATTTGGAGGTGATGATAATTTTAAAATTGAACAACTTGCAATGAGAATTCAAAAAGCAGGTGTTTTAGATTTCAAACATACTAAAGGTTTAACAATTATTCAAAAATCCGAAAATAAAAAATATAATAAAGAAGAAGATTAAACTTTTTTAAAAAAGTAATATAATTTAAAAAAAAAAAAAAAAAAAAAAAAAATTTCTTTATGTCATTATATTTTGTATTATTTATATTTATTTAAAAAGTTTTAAATATTTTAATGAGATTTATTTGGTTGTAAAAAACCCATAACTAATTCAACAACAGCCCAAGTAATAGCTTGACCTGGAGCAACACGAAGAATACCTATTTAAATAATTTTTTAAAAAAAAAAAAAAATATATTAAAATTTCGTTCATTATTATTTTACAATAAATATATTATCTATTCATCTATATTTGATATTTTATCATATTTAAATACATACGTGGTACACAACCAGCCCAGAAACCTTTAAGACCATTTTCTTTATAAATTTCTCTTACAACTTGCATTGAAGTTTGATTTTGACCTTGTTTTTGCATACGTGTTTTAATTGTATCTAATGGATTATTGAAAAGAGTTGAAGCTGTACCGGCAAGACCACCAGCAGTAAGATTTTGCCAAACTGGTAAATGAACACTGTGATCACCCTTTTTAAGATAATCTGTAATTGCATAAAAAGTTGGGAAACGAATCATGTGATTGGTAATTTGACGTAAAAGAGTAGCAGAACCACCTTTATAGAGACCACGGAAACCTTCTTCACGTAAAACATCTTTGAAAACGGTTCCAAAAGATTTATTATGTTCTTGAGTCATATGACGTACTTTTAAGAGTTCACATGGAATAACAACAACAAATGATTCAATGGTACCAGCAAAAGCACCACCAACAAGATTTGAAACAAAACCTTCACCTTTAGTTAATGTACGACCATTGTAAACGGTATTTTTATATTGTTCTGTGAACCAGCTGAATGCAAAATAACGAATACCAACTTTAAAGACAGCTTCGGCTGTCATTGGTAAAATACCTTCATAAAGAGAATAAACACCACCAGTGAAACCTTTACCTTTACTAACAATATCTTTAAATGTAGCTGGAATAGTTTTACCTGGATTATTTTGAAGTTGTGTTTTAATTCTATCGAGTGGATGACATGCCCAAACATCTGCTGTACCTGCAATTGCACCTGCTACTAATCTTTGCCATGGAAAATTAACTTGTTTATTATCTATATAATATAAAATATTGAATTAATATTAATTTGAAAGCGTTTTACAATTTTTTTTTTAAAAAATCATTTGAACAAAAATTTTAAAAAAAGTAAAAAAAAAAAAAAAAAAAAAAAAGATATTTTTTTTATTATTTAAATGTATATACATATATAATTAAATTATTTGCATACATATGAAACTATATTATGATCCTCTAATATTTCTAAAAAACTAAAAAAAAAACAAACCTTTTTGTTGGGTCATTTTTTTTTTTTATAATCACTATGCATAAAAAATTTGAAAAAATTATAATTTTTTTTTTTTTGATTTTTTTTTTTTTTTTTTTTTTTTTTTTTTTTTACTTTTTAAAATTTTAAAATAAAAAAAATTAATATTTTTTAATATTTAATTAAAAGATAAAAAAAATATAAATTGTGTGGGTTAAATTACTAAAAATATCTTTTGAAAACTCATTAATTTTGATTGGGAAAAAAAAAAAAATTTCATATAAAAGGAGAAATTGGGAAATAAAAAAAAAATTAGATAGTTTTAAAAATATAATTATTATAATTTTTTCTAAATTTGTAATCATAACAGATGATTTGTAATATCAACCAAACAACAACAAGAATAAAATAAAAGACATTTTTCCAATGTTAAATCATTATTAATTCAATTTTAAATTTTGGGTGCATAAACATCATTTATAAAAGTTCCTTTAAAAAAAAAAAAAGGTAATAAAAAAAAAAAGGTATTAAAAAAAAAAGGTATAAAAAAAAAAAAAGGATAAACAAAAAAAGTTAAACAAAAAAGGTTAAACAAAAAAAAAAAAAAAAAAAAAACATAAAGTTCTTTTTTAACAATGATAATGATAAAATGATGATAGTAAAACGAATAAAAGTTAATCTTTTTTTTATTTTTTTTTTTTTTATTTTTTTTTTTTTAAAAATTTTATAAAATTTTTTTTTCATAAATTTTTTTTTAAATTTTTTTTTTATTTTCTTTATTTCTTTTTTATTAATACGATAATAAATAAACTTGGAAAAATGTTTAATAGATTAACTAAAGTTGCAATCTCATCATCAAATGTAAAAATCAAACTAATTAATTATTAAATTAATAAAATTTTAAATAAATAATAGAAAAAAAAAATAATTATAAAAAAACGAATATCATATTCAAATAATTAAATAATTGTTCGAGTGTAATAAACAAAAAAAAAAAATAAAAAAATAATAAAAAAAAAAAAATAAAATAAAAATAAAAATAAAAAAAAAAAAATAAATTTTGGATATTATAATAAACATAAAGATAATAATTGATTGGATTTACAAAGAAATAAATAAAATAAATCGTAAAAAAAAAAAATAAATGAATAAATATTAAATTAAATATAATTTTTTTTTTTTTTTTTTTTTAGAGATCTGGTTCAATTAGAAATTATCTTGGATATACTTCAGGTGTTGATAAGAAAAAAGTAACTATCATTCCAGGTGATGGTATTGGTCCAGAAATTACTTCATCAGTTATGGGTGTTTTCCAAGCTGCTAAAGTTCCAATTGAATGGGAAATTTTTGATATTAGCGGTGGTCAACCAATTTCACAAGAATTAATTGCTTCAATCAGCAGAAACAAAGTTGCCCTTAAAGGTCCACTTTACACCGAAATTTTAAGTGGTTCACAATCAAGAAATATGGAACTCAGAAAAGCTTTAGATTTATATGCTCACGTTATTCCATGCAAACAAATCCCAGGTATTGAAGCCAGACACAATGATGTTAACGTTGATTTAGTTGTTATTAGAGAAAATACTCAAGGTGAATACAGTGGTTTAGAACAAACCTTAACCCCAGGTGTTGTCCAATCACTCAAAATCATCACTAAAGAAGCTTCAGCTCGTATTGCTCGTTATGCTTTCGAATATGCCAAAGCTAATGGTAGAAAGAAAGTTACTGGTAAGTAATAATATAGTTTAGATTATAATAGAAGTAAATTTTAATATTAATTTTTTTTTTTTTTATTACAGCTGTTCACAAAGCCAATATTCAAAAAATGACTGATGGTCTTTTCCTTTCAACTTTCAGAGAAGTTGCTAAAGAATACCCAGAAGTTCAATCAAATGATGTTATTATTGATAACTGTTGCATGCAATTAGTTAAATCACCAGAACAATACGATGTTATGGTTACTCCAAATTTATATGGTAATTTAGTTTCAAATATTGGTGCTGCCCTTATTGGTGGTCCAGGTTTAGCTGGTGGTGCTAATGTTGGTGAAAGAAGTATTATTTTTGAAATGGGTGCTCATCACGTTGCTGCTGATATTGCTGGTAAAGATAAAGCCAACCCAACTGGTTTATTATTAGCTTCAGTTATGATGTTAAGACATTTAGGTATGAACCAACATGCCGATAGTGTTGAAGCTGCTGTTAAAGCTGTTATTAAAGATGGTAACAAAACTAGCGATATTGGTGGTCAATCAACTACTAAACAATTCACCGGTGCTGTTATTGATTATATCGAAAAACATCAAAACTAAATTATTTAAATAACACAACAATACGGAAAAAAAAACAAAAGAAAAAAAGAAAAAAGAAAAACCAATCGAAAAACATTAAAATTTTAAATAAATAATAAATTACTTTTTTTTTTTTTTTTAAAACATTATTTCTAAACATAAAGTATTCTTTATTATTGTATTATTTTTTTTGGGGGGAGGAGGTATGGAAATATATAATAAATATATTTTTTTTTATAAATAACTATCATTTAAAAGAGTTGATGATTGTTCGTCGTCATCAAAATATGATCTCTTTAACTTGGTTCTTTTCTTTTTATTATTAATATCAATTACACCAAGTTTTTTATTTACCAAGAAAAGGATAAAACAAATAAAAGCAAAACCACCTACAATTGATAAAATTAAAATAATCCAAAATTCTTTTGTTTTGTGTGGGCATTTAACATCAAATATTTCCAATGGGGCGTTTCCATTTGAGGATTCAAAAGTACAGTTTTCGCAATGGCATAGTGCTGTTTTATCGGTTGGTGTATCGAAAAATTGGATAGTTGCATTTTCACCAGATAGAGGGTGACCAATTTTAATAGAGCTGGTATTAAATTTTAAAGTTCCATTTAAAATATCAAAAAATGGCATAGCTACATCAACTTCAAAAATATTTGATCTATAAAAAGCAATATTTGAATTTAATGTCATAATTGGATTAATAGTTGTATAAATATTGGTAAAGTTTGAATTTCCAAATTCTATAACGAGGTTAGAGTTTGCACTGCCAACTACAATAGATGATGTTTCAATATTTGTAAAGGCTGAATTTAAAATAAAGAGGTTATAGTGATTTAAATTGCTGCTAACTGGAACTTGAACATTAAACATATTGAAACCACCTTTCCAATTTTTAAATGTTAAATAATTAATGATGATATCTATTTCTAAATTGTAATCTGATAAACCAAAGAATGTGGTATTAACACCTGTACCATCAATAATAGTTGGTACATCAATTTCACCCATAATTTGAAAATATTGAAGACCACTTAAATTGAGCTGTGTATAATTACCAACCAAGTTATTTTCCTTTCCGCTATAAATACCACCCATTAAATTTAATGTGGCAAAAATGCAGCTATTGTTTTTAATTAAATAATTTAAACTTAAAATACCATCTTGGATTGATTTACAATTTGGGAAATTATTAAAACCACAATCATAATGTTGATATGTTGAAGTTTGGGTATTTATAAAAACTTCACAGGTTTCCTCACTACTAGTAGAAAAATTAAAAACAAATATAATTAAAAATAATAATATAAATTTAAGCATTTTATTTTTTTATTGATATAATATTGATAGGTTATTTTTTTTAAAATTAATAAAAAAATAATTACTGTCTCCTAAAAAAAATTATTTTTTTAAAATTTTAAAAAAAAAAAAACAAAATAATAATGAGAATATAAAAAAATAAAAAAAATTTTTTTTTTCGGAATTTGGTATTTCTTTTAAAACTAATGAATAAAAAACAGTTAATAAAAAAAAATAAAAAATATTTTACATATAAAATTCTTAAATGATAGAAATGAGTCTTATAAACCAATTATTTTTAAATTTAAATATGTAATAAACATTTGTTTGTATGTGTGTTTCGAAAAAAATACTTTTAAAATTAAAAAAAAAAAAAAAAAAAAAGTGTATTTTTATTTAAAAAAAAGATTTATTTAATTAATTTAAAATTGTTTTATAATTTATTTTATTTGGTTTTATATAATTTTTTTTTATTATTTTAATTTAATCTTTAGTATCGGATTTACTAATAAAACAATTGTAACAATATGCAAGTGTCATATCTTTAGTTTTATAAACCTCTACATAATTATTTCTACCAGATACTGGATAAATTAATTCTTTAGATATTGTACTATTTGAAAATTTAATAAAGCTACTGTCTAAATTGAAAAATGTTAATGCCATTTTCGAGTAATTGATATTTGAATCTGTAAATTTAATGTTGGAATGATTTATCACAACTGGATTATTGATTGTTGAAATATTTCTAAAATCACTATTATAAAATGATACCCTATTATTGATTGCAGAGAATGGGAAATTTGCCGTTAAAATACTTGGAGTTTCAATATTTTTGAAAGTACAATTAAAAAATTTAATTTGTACAAATTTATTACCACCTGGTGAAAAATCGATTAAATTACCTTCACCATGCCAATTTCTGAAATTTAAATTGACAAATTGAAACTCTATTGGGGAGGCTAGTTGTTCTTTAAAGGTGAAAAAGCTTCCTTCAAAATTTTTGCCATTGATAAATGTCTTTTTTTCTTTACCAACAATTTGTAATAACTTGATATTGTTTAAATTTGATAGTTCGATACTATCTACAGAGTTTAATAAAAATGAATAATAAACCCCATTTTCGATTATGATTTTTGCTGTTGAACAGTCTTTGGTCTTTAAAAGCATGTTTAAACTATAAAGAGCATGTTTGATGCTAGTGCAACCACCATAGTTACTGTAACCACAATCCATGGTTGGTTTTTGTAATTGTTTTGGATTTATTATAATTGTACATGTTTCATCCTCCCTATATAATGATGGTGTATTTGATTCGGTTTGATAGGAAATTGAAATATTTATAAATAATACTACAATAATAAAAAAAATATTATTTATTATTTTCATTGTATTGTTTAAATTTTTTTATTATTTGAGTTTTTTTTTTTTTTTTTTTTTTTTTTGATTAAAGTTTTAAAAAAAAAAATAAAAAAAAAATAAAAAAAATTCAATTTTTTTTATTTTTTTTTATTTCTTTTTATTTCTTTCCAATATTCGGTTTTTTTTTTTTTTGTATAAATTTTTATAAATTATAACCCCCCGGTTTTAATAATGTAAGTTATTCCTCCCCAACTATATAAAAAAAAAAAAAAAAAAAAAAAAAAAATCTAAAAGTTATGGTTTTCGTCTCCAGAAATTTGTGAGTGTGGTAATTTCCTTATGTGTTTTTCAAGAAATCGTTATAATTTAGTGAATTTTAAAGATATACAGTAGTTACACTAAAAAGTATTATGGATTAAAAAAAAAAAATTAGATACCATGTTTCAAAATAAAAGTTAAATTAAAAAAAAAAAAAAAAGATATTTTATTTATTTAATTTTGTGTGGTTATTTTATATATTTATATAAATTTTTTTTTTTTTTTAGTTATAAAATATATATTTATCATTAGTCATAAGTTATGGTTTTTTTGAGTTTTATATAAAAAAAAACCAATGAATTTATCATTAAATAAAGAATCATTAAAAAATTTCACTTTAGTAGAAAATCATTTAGATATTTTCAAAGGTTGTTGGCTGTTAATAAAAAAAAAAATTTATTTATAAAATTGAAAAACTATCATTTATAATTCTTGAATTTTCGTTATAATTATCTATATCATCTTCATCTTCGTCATCAAGAAGTCTATGTTTTCTTTTGGAAACTTTAAAAAAGTATTTGATGTTGCACACCTTGAATTTTTGATAAAGATTATAAAATATTACAAATAATAATATAAAAGTGATTACAACAAATAAAGCGAATCTGATCCAAATTCTTTTTGATTTGCCAATACTTGAACAGTCTAAATCCATTGGCTTAAATGTGGAAGAGTTAATTGAGGTATTTGTTGATATTTCAAAGTTGCAGTCAAAGCAAAAGAAACAAAAGGTGGAGTTATCGATTTGATTATTTGAGAACAAAGATATTGTTAAGTTATGGCCATTAATTGGCTTATACGATTGAATTGTTGAGTTCCAAATTTTGATATTTCCATTTTGACCTATAATTAGTTCATCACCTGCAATATGATCACCAGTATTATTAACATGGGTATTTACTATCATTATATCAGCACTTGATAACAAGAACAAGGGAGTACCAATTTTAATAAAATAATTATTGATAAATGATGAATTTTCTATTAATATATTATTGTTGTTATTATTACTGTTTTTAGTGTTGTTGGAGGATGAGAATGTTGAATTTAAAAAACCTAAACTATTGTTTGTATATGTACTGTTGGCAAATAAAATATTGAGATCAGCACTAAATACACTTGTAATAAACTGTTGCTTCATTGTTATTTGATTTATATGGGAGTTTGAAAAATAAAGGTTGCCATCATTTACACTAAAATAAGAACCACTAATATTTGCATATTCAATAGTTGTAAAGTCTACAATTGTATCGGTATTAATTGATTTGAATGGATTTGAAAGGGTATTAATATTTGAAAATAGACTTCCACCAATATAGACATTGATATTTGATTTTGTAGAACTTTGGTCCAATCTACCAATGGAGTTTATTATTGATGATGAATTTATATTTGAAAAATTACAATCTAAAATTGAAATTTGAATATTTGGTATTGATGGTGAATTTATGTTAAACATTATTGATTCTATACCGTTCCAGTTTTCAAAATTTAAAGATTCAAAGCTGATCGATGCTATATTGGTTTGCTGTAAATTAAAAAATGAACTATTTGTATTTGAACCATCAATGATAGTATTGGTACTACCAAAGAAAGTAATACTTTGAATACTATTTAATGTGAAAAGATTATTACTGATTAAATTTAAACTATTATTTGCTAAATATTGACCGGCTTTAATGTTTATTAAAACATCTTTACAAGTTTTGGTTTTTAAATAATCTTGTAAACTATTTATTGCACCAGTGATTGTCAAACAGTTATCTTCTCCAAATCCACAAGTTGTACTATCGATACCATTGGAATTATTTATATTAATAATACAATCATAATTATCGTTATTATTAATTTTATTTGATATTGTATAGTTTATCAATAAATAAATAAAAAAAATAACTATTATTTTCATTTTTTTTATTAAAAAAAAAAAAAATAAAAAAATTTATTTATAAGAATAAAAAGATTACAAATTAATTATTTATTATTATTATTATTATTATTATTTAAAAAAATATAAAAAAAAAAAAAACACAACCTATATTATTATTTAAAAAAAAAAAAGAAAATGCTATTTCTCAAAAAAAAAATAAAAAATAAAAAATTAAACAAATTTTTAAATAAAAAAATTAAACAAAAAAAAAAAAATAAAAAAAAATAAAAAAAATAAAAAAGTAAAAAAGTTAGAATTGTGCAACGAAAAGAAAGTTTACATTTTATTTATTTATTTTATATGTATATATAAAAATTATTAAAAACATTAATTAAATATAAATCCATAATGGAGTGTATATAAAATTTATGGCTAAACTTTTTCCTGAATTTTTTTTGTTTTTAAATTACCTTTTGAAATATCAAATATCGAAAAATCAAAAGTAACTAAATTTTTTCACTGGGGGGAGTATACTGGGTAAATACTGTCGAGTGAAGTTGTTGATTTTGGGTGCATGATTTGATTGAGATTTTTTTTTTTTTTTTTTTTTTTTTATTATAATAATTTATTATTAAAAAAAAAAAAAAAATAAAGAATACTAATATTAATATTAAAAAAAATGGGATGGGTATATGATAGATGATATTGATACAAAAAATTTATTTTTTTCTATTTTTTTTTTTTTCAATTAAAAAAAAAAAACTATAAAATAAATTGTCAATAATAATTATATGATGATTACTATTATTTTAATAATGAGTGATTTTTAATTATAATATTTTTAAACAATTAATTAAATTATTTATAAATATTAAAACTATACATATTATATTATTGTGATTGATGTGTTGTGTGGATTATAATATTATTATTATTATTTTTTTTTTTTTGTTATTATTATTAATAAATATTATTAATGATTATTATTATTATTATTATTTTAATTATATTTATGATTAGACTCCCAATCTAAATCTTCCCTAAAGTTTTTAACTGCTTTGGTGAAATCCCAATCATTATTAACTAAATAAGATCTGGCTTCTTCTTTAGAGATATTTTCAGAGACTGCTAATAATTGAATCAACTTTCTTCTTCTTTCTTCTTCAGTATTAATTTGTGGTGGTGGTGGAACTGCATTTTGATTAATAACTCCAGATGCTGGAACTAACAAAGTTTTATGGGTGATGCATTCGTTACCTTGAATTAAATTTATTCTTTTTATAACATCAATAGTGGTGTTATATCTTATAGCAATACCAGCAAGAGTATCAGTAGAAACTACTCTATGTTGAATCCATTGAACATCATTTGAAACTGGTTGTGGTGGTTGTTGTTGTTGTATTTGTTGTTGCATTTGTTGTTGAATTTGTTGTTGTAATTGTTGTTGAATTTGTTGTTGTTGTTCAACATAACTACCAATTAAATTAATGCTACCATTATTAAAGTTTAATAATTGATTACCATCCATACTTCTATCAATTGGGATATTGTATTGTGGTGGTTGGTATTGTGGAGGAGCTTGGTAATTATAAAAATTGAAAGTATTGCTAACAACTTGTGGTTGTGTGATAACTTGGGCTGTTGGTGGGTACAAGTGACTGTTAAAGTTTGGTGGTGGTGATGTTGATAATGGAAATGGAGGATATTGAGGTGTGATGTTTTGAAGGATTTGGTTGGACCTTGATTGTTGAATAATTTTCTTTTGGGTAACCAAGGCATTGATCCAAGCTTCAGTTTGATGTGGAATTGGTGCATAGAGGAAATGATTTCTAGTACCATCATTGATAACCAAACAAATTCTAACGTCACTATCGGTTGCCATCTTTCTATAAGAGATTGAGATGTCAGCCAAATGGAAAACTCTGTGAACTTTGTTATCAGTTTCGTCATAGTAGTTGATTAAAGATGAATGAGTTAATCTAAAACGTCTTTTTGCCCAAAGACCTAAAGTTTTACCTTGTTTCTTTAAAATAGATTCGTAAAGAATTTTATCAGCACCTAAATAACCAAAATTGAAATTTTGGTAGATTGGATTGTTTTGGTGAACAATATCCGGTTTAGAAACAGTCATAGATTGAAAAATAACAGCGGCATTTTGATCTTCGATGTGATAAGTACTAAAACAACCTTGAACCTCTCTACCATTTCTACTGCAACATGTCCATTTATCTTCTGATTTGTTAAAATTTCCAGAATGTGAATAACAAGTTTGTAAATTAAATTCATTATTATAAATCAACTTTAAACATTTTGAACATTGTTTTAAAATTGGACTATTAGGATTTTCATCCGTTGTTTGTGTTGATTGTTGTTGTTGTTGTTGAAGCTGAGCTAATTGATTTTGGAATTGGGTGATATTTGATGTGTTTAAATTATTAATGCTATTTTGGTTTTGTGGAATTGATACAAAATAGTTGTTAAAACTTCCTTGTCCACTTGTACTGGTACTATTTTCGCCACTAAATCCCATTTTTCTCTTTTAAAACAATTTCTCTTTTTTCCTTTTCTTTTTTTTTTTTTTTAAAAAAAAATTGGTTCTAATACAGAGCTATTCTTTTTTTAAAAAAAATAAATAAAAAAAATAAATAAAAAAATAATTAATTATTTGTACTAAAAGAGGAGAAAAAACCTATTCTGATAAGGTGGGGATAAAAAAACAAATATATAAATAAATAAAAAAAAAAGAATAAAGAAAATGAAAAAAAAACACAAAATAAAGAGAAAATTTTATGTCACAAAATATTAAAAAAAAAATAAAAAAAATAAAAAATAAAATAAAATAAAATTAAAAAAAAATATTTTATTTTAAATAAAATTTATTTTTCAAAATACCAGGGTTATAAATAAAACCTACCTTTTGTAATTGATAAAAAAATATAAAATATAAATAAAATAAATAAATAAAGATATAAAAATATAAAAATAAATATATAAAAGAAAAAGATATTCAAAAAAAAAAGAAAAAAAAAATATTAAAAATAAAAAATAAAATAAAATAAATAATAAGCCAAGTTTTTATTGTTATTGAAAAAAAAAAAAAAAAAAAAAGAAAAAAAAAAAAAATTAACCAGGTTTAAAATTTTTGAGCAAAAATATTTAGGTGTAACCAAACATATAATTAAACACCACTGGGATAGAGTATAGAGTTTTTTTTTACAAAACTTTAGAAAAAAAAAAAAAAAAAGAGAGAAATACACAGGGAAAATAGAACATGTTTTTTTAATTATATATAAACTTTTTTTTTTTTTTTAAAGTTTTTACTTTTATAAGATAATAATAACACTATACCAGAGTAAATAGGTAATCTGGAATAACCTAATGTATTGAACTATGTTTTTAAAAGTAAAAAAAAAATTCCTGTTTAAATTTTATTAAAATTACTCACTAACAGTAATTTATTATTATTATAAATTTTTTTTTTATATTTTATATATTGGTGGTTTTAATTTATTTTTCTTGATTTGGGAGGACTAATGGGTGAGATGGGTCGTATGGTTTAACTAAAAGTTCTGAGAATAATTTGAGTGATGGTACACCTCTAATTTCTGCTTTTAAGAGTGGGAGTTTGGTAACGTGGAAATCATAATATAATTCTTCAATTTGGTCTAAATATTTTTTTTGCATTTTTTGTCTTGCTGAGCATAAATTACAATCATTTTCTGGATAAACAATTTGATTTACAATAATATCACGTACATCTATATCTAATTTGGTTAATTGTTGAATTAATCTTTCAGTTTCATAAACTGAAAGGAATTCTGGGATACAAACTGGAATAAAAGTTGTAAGATCCTATAATTAAAAAAAAAAAAAAAAAAAAAAAAAAATAATTATTAATATGAATATAATGAATGATTTTTTATAGTACCACATACTGGATTCTTAAATTGAACATTAATTTCTTCAATGGTTTTTTTGGTAGTTTGAAGTTTACTTTCAATACCTTCTGCAGTTGGTACATTACCTCCCATCATACCTGATACCTAGGTAATTATAAAATCTATTAGTATTTATTTTTTTATTTTTTTTAATTTTTTTATCAATTTAACTTACAGCTGAAAGAATACCAGAGAAATTATTTTGCATTGATAAAAATTTATTTAAACCTTTATCTAATAAGGATGGAATTGAAAGAAGTCTAAGGGTGTGACCAGTTGGAGCAGTATCAAAAACAACAACTGAGAACTCAAGTGATTTAACTAATTTCATAACTTCGGCAAAACTCATTGCTTCATCAATACCTGGGATAGCAGAAGTAAATTCTTGAAGATTAAAACCATCACCTTGTGATTCTATAAATTCTGGTGCTAATTGATCTGGAGTTGGATCAATTTCCTAATTAATTAAAAATTTTATTAATAATAAATAAACAAACATGTTAATGTATTTTAATTTTTTAACATACCATACAGAATAAGTTTTTAAAACCTTCGACTAAAGTTGGATTTTTTGTGAATTTTTGACCAAATGCATCACTGAGATTGTGAGCTGGATCAGTTGAAATTAAAAGAACTGATTCTTTAACTTTAGAAAGTTGGATGGCAATACTACATGATGTACTTGTTTTACCGACCTATATATATATATATTTTATAGTAGTTTAAATTAATAACTATTTGACAAATGTTCTTGTGATGTTCGATTTGAAGTTATAAATATATAAATTTATTAATTATTTTGACTAGTTGTTTCATGTTAACTTACACCACCTTTACCACCAATGAAAATCCATTTTAAATCACTGTCAATAATATTTTGAATAGTTGGTTCGTATAATTCTTCTTCTTCTGACATTGTTTAATATATTGTTTAATTTAAAAATAAAATAAATAAAAATAAAATTTTTTTAAAAAAAAAATGAAAAAAAAATAAAAAATAAAAAATAAAAAAAAAATAATAATTTTTTTTTTTTTTTTTTAATTCATTTTTTTATTTTTTTTAAATAATATAAAGTAATTATTTTATTAAATATATATTTTATAAATATTTTATACAATTATTGATAGATAGATATTTTAGTTCAGTTTAAAATTATTATAATTCACTACTATTAAATTTAATTTTTTTTTTTAAAATTTTTTTTTTTAAAATTTTTTTAAAAAAAAAAAACCAAAAAGATTTTTTTATTTTTTTTAAAATTTGTGTATTGTTAAAATTAAAAAATCGTATAAAGCCTATAGGGAATATATTATTATTATGTTATAAAATTATTTATTAAAATAATAAACCCATTGTATTTTTAAACAAACAAAATCACTGTATAATAGTAATAAATTAAAAAAAAAAAAAGAATAGAAATGGATCACAGAAGAAGTATTGATTTTACCAATGATTTCATTGTTAAATCAACAGAGCAACAACAACAAAGAAGGTTAGCAAATTTTACAATTAGAAAATGGAATAGTGAAGCAAATATAGAGGATTTTGATGGTTCAGTTCCACCAAAAAGTTCAATTGTTAATTTATTAAACAAATTTTTAAAAACTAGACCATCCAAAGAGGATTTGGTTGCCAATAAAATTTTAGGAAATGAATATAAGCCAATACCATTAAGATATAGTTTAATTGATATACTATGTAGCTATTTAGAAAAAAATGCATTGGAAGCAGAAGGTATTTTTAGAGTTTCAGGTTCAAATCAACAAATTAGATTGTTTTGGCAAACCTTTACTTCGGGTAATTAAAAAAATTTAAAAAAAAATTTAAAAAACTTTATATTAATTATTTTTACTTTTTAGATAACATTGATTTTCCACAAAATATTCATACAACAGCAGGTGCATTAAAGTTATATATTAGAGAACAAAATGAACCTTTGGTTCCACACGAATTCTTTTCGAATTTTATAACACTTTTGGGTGATAATGGAGTATCTTCAAATTCAATGATTCAATTAATGACAAAAGTAACACCAGAAAATTTAAAAATTATCAAAAGAGTTTTAAGGGTTTTAATTATTATGGCAAGACATTCTCAAATTAATAAAATGGATGCAAATAATATGGGTATTGTTTTTGGACCAAATATTTTCAAATCAAGGGTAAATAAAATTACAAACCAAAATTTAAAAAATTTTAAATAATTATATATTAATTTTTTTTTTTTTTTAGTCTGATTCACCAAATATTTTTTCAGAAGCAAAATATTCAAATGAAAGTGTATCATATTTAATTTCTCATTATTTAGAAATATTTCCAGATTTAGAAGTCCCAATTTTAGGTACTGAAACAAATAATGAAGATGGAGCCATCCAAACATCACATGGAGTTGACCATTCTGCAGCTGCCAGTAGTAGTAATGATAATTTAAATAATAATAATAATGTTGCGTTATCACCAAGTTCAAAGGGTATTTCAGTAAATAGCACAACCGGTTCATCAACATCACCAATAATGAACTCAAATTCAACTTCATCACCATCTTTATTAAATAACAATGCCAATTATCCAATTCAAGGTCAAAATAACCCATCACCATTTTCCTTATCAAATAATATTGGTGGTAGTGTATCATCAACTAATTTAATGGGTGGTGTTTCATCGAATAAGGGTTCACCATCATCATCAATTTCAAACTCTTCATCATCATCAAAAAACAATTTAGTACCAATACATCCATCCTTATTAGATACTAACCAAATGGTAGATAAAGTTGAAAGTAACCCATTATCAAAAATGAAGAAACTAGACTTTAGTATGACCCATCTTTTATCTCAAAAATTACAAAAAACAAAGCTTTACCGAAAAGAAGAAATATGGGATTATTTCTTAATATTAAAAGTTAGTGGTAATTTAGTTTCATATGGTAAATCTGGCAACAGTAACAATTCAACCAACTCCAGCTCAACAATAGCCAATAGTTCAAATTTATTAAGTTCAAGTGGTAAAGTTAAGAAATCAAGTACAAATCTAATGAATGGTCACCCATCTTCATCACAATTACAATCAACAGGCGAAGTAACTTTAACACCAGTTTACATTTTAATTACCTCTCAAAATGTTTTTTTTTTCGACACAAGATCATATAATATTCAATATATTTTACCACACTCAAGATTAAAGGATATTTCAATTGATGTTGTAAACAAAGGTTTATTCTCTATATTGGGATGGTGATACTCATAAACTCTCATTCTTTTTAGTACCAAAGCCAAAGGTTATTGATCATATTGTCAGATCATTCGAACGTGGTAGAGCCATTGCAAAACTATCAAATAAATCTTTAGCTTCACTTCAATCTAGAAAGTTCCCACTTTTAGAAGGTGCTAATGGCTCAAGTAGCTTTAGTAAATTACCAGAGTCCAGACCTGTATTCGAATCATTAGCTCAAAATGGTTTCACAGAACTTGATGTTTGGGAAGGTACTGTCGATCTTTTAGAGGTGGTAAAGAAATTTCATCATATTTTAATTCCAACCGAACCAAAAGCAGTTGTCGAATTCCTTTTACCAGCTATTCCCGAGTTTAAAGGTATCTATAGAAAATCTTACAAGCTAGATATAAAGACAACAGTGTATAAAATTATTTGTCTCATTTGTGAAAAGGCCAAATTAGAACCATCAAAATTCCTTTTAAGAACATTAAAAGGACGTACCTTATTTGATAATCTTTGCTTGGGTGATTATGGTTTAGGTACATTGTTTACAAGTTGGCAACTTCGTCTAATTGCATTAGAATCACCAGAATCTACAGGTAATTTTGTCGTTGAATTCTTAATGCCAAATACACCAGAGTTCAAGGGTATGCAAAAGAAAGCTATCAAGGTCGATGCCTATCAACCATTAAAGAGAATTATGAAAGGTCTTTGTGATAAATTAAAGATACCAAATCATCACTACTATCATATCATTGGTCCCGAGGGTGAAGTATTAGGCGATAACGATGTATTATCAAGTATTGGTCTTGGCATTAAATATAAAACATGTAAAATGCAATTGGCTAAAAAGGTTTTCCCTATTGGTAGAAACCCAGAAATCGATACACCAATGGTTAAATCATTAGTAGATGACATTGTGACCACATCTTGGAATAAAATTAAAGAAAGACATAACGAAAGAATTCGTATCTATTGTAAGCAAATGTTAGATTATATTGTAGATCAAGTATTTGTAGAGATAACCAAAGCTGAATTGGTACCAAAAAGAGTTGCAATGTTAGGTAAAAACTCACGTTATGATTTTTATTCAACTCTGGAATCAAAGGAAGAGGAAGATATGATTCTCTTGGACATTCAAGGTTACAAAGAAAAAGTATTCCAATGTAGAAATATAGTACCAGTCGAACTAGAAAACTCACCAAACTATCCTTTATATCGTCCAAAATTACCATCATTTAAAGGTGGCATGGGTGGTGGTGGTATTACATCATTAAGAGATATCAAAGTTAATAGTGCCAAAAATAATTTCTTAAATGAATTAAAAGATAATAATAAACATCAACAACAACAACAGCAACAAAATGGAACCGAACATACCATTAAACCATCTCAAAAGATTAAATATCAACCACCAATTGTAAATAATCCAAACTCAATTGTACAATTATTATCGCTAAAACCAGGAACATCAAAATTGGTTGAACAATTAAAAAATAGAATGTCAGTTACATCCAAAAAAATTAATATTTTTGATGTTGAAGATTTAGTTCCAAAAAATTATGATTCTCCACAAAGTAGAAGAAAAAAGTTATAAATAAATAATAAAATTAAACAAATAAAAATTGATTTTATTTAATTAATCAAATAACCATCGGTTTTTTTTTTTTTTTTTTTCGTTCAATTTTCAAAAAGTCCACATTTGGACGACAGGGTCGTAATATTTTTGTTAATGCCAAAATAATAATTAAAAAAAAAAACCAACCCTTTCAAAATGTACAAAATTGTACTGTGAGTCTGAAATGGAAAAAAATAACTTTTTTAATTTTTTTTTATTTATTTTTTTTTTTTTTTTTTTTTTTTTTTTTTATTTTTAAATTTTTATGATTTCTTTTTTTTTTATTTTTTTTTTTTTTTTTCATTTTTTTCGATTTATTTGTTTGTTATAAAAAAAAATAAATAAATAAATAAATAATATGAATACTCCAATAAAATGGATATAAAAAGATTAAGAGAAAATAACTTCACCAAAAATAGTAGCATTAATAGTAGTAAAAAAATAAAAATAACAAATTTTAATAATAATAATATTAATAATAATAGTAATAATAATAATAATGTTATAATTAATAATACAACTAATATTAATATTACAAAACCAATTTTACCAATTTATTTACAAAAAATTATAATCAAATTATTATGTAATAAAATTGATGAATATAATAAAGCTTATATTAATTATTATATTAATGACGAATTGGTAGAGATGGATAATATTCAAAAATATGAAATACAATCACTTGCACTAGTTAATTGGTGTTGGTTCAACTGTTTTCGTGAAAATTTAACAGTTTCACATGACTTTTTAAGTTATCATTATTATCCAAGTTTATATGATTTAGAAGGTGAAATAAATAAAATTAATATTAATAATAATAATAATAAAAGTGATACTTTAGAAAAGTCAAATATTATAACAGCGGTACAAGAACTTGATTATCAATCCTCTTCTATATTACCATTATCAAATTCAAAAACATTAGAAATAAATAATAATTGTAATAATTTTAATAAATTTAATCACTATATTATAAATAGAGTTAATAATCAATTAAATAATAATAACAGTAGATTTAAATTAATTAATGATAATAATATTATCGAATTAAAATTAAATTTTAGAGACTATTTTAATAAAAAGAATTTAAATAATCAATGTTTAATTAAAAAAATTATTCAATCAATAAATAAGAGAATAAAAAGTTTCCCAAATTTAAAAAAGATATATGTAGCCAATAGATATTATCCATTTGTATCAATTGAGGAACAAAAGCAATGGGAGATTATTAATCTCATAGAGTTTAATAATATATCAACTAGAATATGCTATTTGGATAAGCGGGTATCAAATGTTAAAGAAATTCAGTTCCTCTATGGGACAGTCCACAGCGTAAAGGAGGTGGCACCATTTTTAAAGTCATTAGATATGGTAGAGCAGGTCTATTTAAATGGAGATTGTGAAGGTTTTGAATATCCTCAATTATATCAATTACTTGGTAACGAAAGTTGCTTCACAAATACTTTAGATTTTCAAGTCGAAACAAATATTTCGATTGAAGATTTTTATTACATTTTAAAATTATCACCAAATACCAAAATCTTATTAGTCAATTTATGCTTTGATAATTTAATTTATGAACTTTCAAATAAAAAATCAACATGTCCAAAATGTTTATGCACCGAGGATGACGAAGATAAATTCAACGAAGATAGTGATGATTATAATAACTCTATAATTAATAATGAAAAACAAGTTTTAACAATTTCAAAAAATAATAAAAATATTAATGATAATAATAATAATAATAATAATAATATTGATAATAATAATATTGATAATAATAACAATAATAATAATAATGGTAAAATTAATAATAATGATAATGAACAAGAACAATCTGATAATAGTAGTTTAATTAATTTTATAAAAAAACCAAAATATTTTAAAGATTATTGGGATTTTATATTTAATTTTATTATTAATCATAAAAAATTAAAGAATATTGGCTTTTCATCAAGTTGCAGACTTAAATCCACAGCTTTGAATAGTAAAGATCTTCCAAATGATTTCATTGAAACATTTGGATCAATGTTAATTAATAATCAATCGTTAAGTAAGGTCCATTTCAATAGAGTCCCAATTCAATTTCTCAAATTATTAGAATACATTATCCAAAATAATAAAAGAATTACAAGGTACAATTGCAGTTTGTTACATGACAGTGTAAATAATCAATCAAAACTAGCCCAGTTTATAAAATCATTAAATTATCTGTTAACTCAAAAAGAAAATAACCACATTCTAAAATTTTATTTGGAAAGTGAAAATCAAATCATTTTATTAAATTATAAGAAAAAATAAAAATAATAAAAATAATAAAAATAGTAATAATAATAAAAATAATAATAATAATAATAATAAAAATAACAAATAATTATTAGGGCTTTTTTTTTTTACAAATTTGTTAATTTTAATTAATTAAATTTAGTTAATTTTTTTTTCCCTAATATATTAATTGGTATTTTTAACTATAAATAAAATATAATTATCCTTTTTTACCATTATTATAATATAATTTTTTATACAAAAAAAGTTTTAAATAAAAAAATTTAATATTATAAATTTATTTTTTTTAATTAAATTTTTTTTATTTTTTTATTTTTTTTTTATATTTTTTTAAAATTTTTTTTTTTTTTTTTTTTTAATTTAAATATATATTGTAATTTATTATTCAAAAAAACAAGAAAACAAAAAAAAAAAAGAAAAAGAGAATTAAAAAGAACAATTATAGGTTCGGAAATAAATAAATTAGTGAATGTATTCATCATTTTCAAATAATATAAATAATAATAGTAGTGGAAGTAGGGGATATTTACCATCGTTAAGTTCACCTTCTTCATTGTCCCTATCCTCTTCTTCCTCTTCGTCGTCATCCTCTTCATCGTCATCATCATCATCTTCACCAAATAAAAATCAAAACTCATTATATAGACAAAATTTATTTGAATTACCAACAAATTGGTCACCTAAAGATAAATGTTCTCATTTAGAATTATCTTCAAATGCATTAAAGGTCACATATAAAACAAATAAAACAGATAATGAGGCAGGTTTAATTAGAGCAAATTGTTTTATACCTCCATCATGTGGGATATATTATTTTGAAGTTACAGTTATAAGTAAAGGTAGGGATGGTTATATTGGTATTGGTGTTTGTACCTCTTCGATGCCTTTAACAAGATTACCTGGTTGGGAACGTAATTCATTTGGGTAAGTTTACATTGATATATCTATAACTATTTATAATCATTTTTTTAACATTGGGTTTTTTTTTTTTTTTTTTTTTTTTTTTTTTTTTTTGAATTAAAAAAGATATCATGGCGATGATGGAAATTTATTTAAAGGATCTGGTACAGGTTCAGCATATGGTCCAACTTATACAACAGGTGATGTTGTTGGGTGTTGCATTAATTTTGTTCAAGGTTCAATATTTTTCACAAAGAATGGTGTACCATTAGGTGAAGCAACAAAAGATATTAAAGGTTTAGTGTTGTTTCCATGTATTGGGTTAAGAACTCCAGGAGAATCATTAGAGGCCAACTTTGGACAAAAACCATTTGCATTTGACATTGATCAACTTTTTAAAGAAGAAAAACATAGAGTAGTTAAAACAATTAAAAATACGAATGGTGAAGAAGAATTAACATCTACCCAATTGGTTTTATCATACTTAATACATCATGGCTATAGTGAAACTGTTAAACTATTTGCAAAAACCACAGGTACTGATGGTGAATCAATTGACAACCAAATTGATGATATAAAAAATAGACAAAGTAAATATTAAATAAATATAAAAAAACAAAAAAACAATATATTAATAATTATTTTTATTATAGAAATTTCAGAATTATTATCCAAGGGAAATGTCGAAAAAGTTATAAATGAGTTAAATAGAATTTATCCAAATTTCCTTAAAGAGAGAAAAGATATATTGTTCAAATTATTATGTCAAAAGTTTATAGAAATGATAAAGAATTCACCAATAGAAGAAGCAATGGAGTTTGGTCAGAGAGAATTGTCGAGTTTTTCAAATGATTCGGTTGAATATGAGAATCAATTGAATGAAATATTTTCATTAATAGCATACACTGATCCATTTTCGAGTCCAATAGGTCATCTTTTAGAAAAATCAAAAAGAGATCAAATTGTAAATGATTTAAATTGCGCACTTTTGGTACATTGTAATAAATCATCAACTCCTGTATTAGAAAAAATAGTTAAACAAGCAAAGGTTGTAATTGATCAAGTAGTTTTTCAAAATGCTGGTCCATCAGCTGCATTTATAAATGTAAAAGAGTTTATAGATGTTGATGATACCAATTAAATAAAAAAATAAATTAAAAATAAAAATAAATATTTATAACAATATTATTTAGAAACTATCTTTATTAAATTTAAAGAAACAAGTTTTTTATTTATTATTTTTTAAAATGATTCAATTAAAGATTTAATTAACTTTGTTTCCGATTCTTTATTTATAGTTTCAATATATTCTTTTATAATTGATTTTATTTCTTTTATTTGAGGTTCTTGAATTTTTAATTTAATATTCTTATCTTCGCTTGAAAGGAATAGTAATATCAAATCGACATATTGGAGAGTGAATAAACCAGCGTCTAGTCTTTTTAATAAAATTTCATCATCATCATCTTCATCATCCTCGCCATTTTCTTCTTGTTTTAATTGTTTATCTGATAGTTCTACTCTTCTGTAGTATTTGTCGTGTAGTTCTAATAATCTATCAACCTTTTCGAGATTATTTTCTGTAAATTTAATTAATAAACGTTCATAGTATTCACTTGTTTTTTCTAAATTTCTTAATAAAGAATATAACATTGTTACTATATGTTCTTCGTCTTCTTTTTCATTATAAACTTTTTTATTATGTTTTGATTTAACTTTTTTCATAAAGCTTGAAAATAATGTTTTTAAACCTAATTCTTTTACAAATATTTCATTTGATTTCTTTGATTCTGTTAATGAATAATCTAGTATTTTTAGTGCTGCTCCTCTAAATTGTGTTTTTTTCCTAAATTAAGAAAATAAAATATTGGAATTAATAAACTATTTTTATTGGTTGTTGTATTTTTAATATATTATTAATATACACATACTTTATAAATAATAACATTAATTGAATTCCTTCTGATTTTAAAAATAATTCTTTATTTGATTCACTATTTAATAATAATGAACAAATGGAGGAGAATAAGTTTTCAATAAATTCTTTTTCTTGAAGTGATTCGACATCTCTTTTTAAAAACTGAGAAATGATAACTAATAATTGTTCAATACCATCATATTTCTTTGTGAATGTTGATCTTGATACTTCATCGTTTAATAGAATGGTTGATAGTAATTCACTACTATATAGTTTAATTGGTGTTGGTGTTTTTGGATTGGTAGAGTACTGTAAAATAAATTTGAAAAAATTTGATTTATTTCCTAAAAGGGGTGCAATAAGCAATGGATCTAAATCTAACATTGTTTCGAATATTGAAAATGTATTATGAATAGCTTGTTGTTCATCATCTGCAGTGACATCTAATCTTGATAAATTATCCACCAATGTTACAACTACACCATTATCAACATATGAATGTAGTAAAGTTAAACCTTCATCTTGTTCATTATCTTCTTGTTCAATAAGTTCATTAAATAAATCTATAACATCTATACTGATATCGGTATTTTCGTGTAAAATTAATGACCCCAATGATTCGATTGATTTTAATGATACAAATAGTTTATATAAATCTGGTGAAGTTGCTAAAATTTGAAATTTTTTAATTTCTTCATCCAATTCTATTTCACTTTCCATAAATCTAAATTAAATTAAAATATTAGAGTTTATTTTTTTATCATTTATGATTTATTATAACAATTGATATTTGATAATTTTAAACCAAACTTACTTTTCGGGTTCATTTTTAAATTTTAAACGAAGTTGTTCATTTCTTATTAGTTTTTTTTCAAATGAAAATACTAATTTCTTTAATGTAGTTGGGTTTAATTCTTCAAACTTTTTTAAAATAGTTTTTAAAAAAAAAAAAAAAAAAAAAAAAAACATTAATGTTTAAATTAATAATTAAAAGCCTATATATTTAATATATAAATTAAACTTACCTCTTCATTTTCTACTTGATTAACCAACTCTTTAATATGAGTAATTTCAGCTTTTGAAATTTTTGATGGTTCTGTTGAACTGAATGCATTTTTTCTTTTACTCATTATAATTATTTAATTAAATTAACAAAAATGAATT